GGTACAACATGGCTAACTTAAGGTAGATGTGGGTGAACGAGGTACAACATAATTAACTTAGGGTAGATGTGGGTTAACGTGGTACAACATGGCTAACTTAGGGTAGATGTGGGTTAACGTGGTACAACATGGGTAACTGAGAGTAGATGCGGGTGAAGGAGGTACAACATGGTTAACTTAGGGTAGATGTGGGTGAACGTTGTACAACATGGCCAACTTAGGGTAGATGTGGGTTAACGTGGTACAACACGGCTAACGTGGGGTATATGTGGGTGAACGAGGTACAACATGGTTAACTTTGGGTATATGTGGGTTAACGTGGTACAACATCATTGACTTAGGGTAGATGTGGGTTAACGTGGTAAAACATGGTTAACTTAGGGTAGATGTGGGTTAACGACGTACAACGTGGTTAACTTGGGGTAGATGTGGGTTAACGTAGTAGAACATGACTAACTTAGGGTAGATGTGGGTTAAGGTGGTAGAACATGGCTAAGTTAGGGTAGATGTGGGTTAACGTGGTAGAACATGGTTTACTTAGGGAAGATGTAGGTTAACGTGGTAGAACATGGCTAACTTTGGGTAGGTGTGGGTTAACGTAGTAGAACATGGCTTACGTAGGGTAGATGTGGGTTAACGTGGTAGAACATGGCTAATTTAGGGTAGATGTGGGTTAATGTGGTAGAACATGGCTAACTTAGGGTAGATGTGGGTTAACGTTGCAGAACATGGCTAACTTAGGGTAGATGTGGGTTAACGTGGTAGAACATGGGTTACTGAGGGTAGATGTGGGTTAACGTGGAAGAATAAAGCTAACTGAACATATTGTAAGTATTATATGAACCTCATGGCTAACTTAGGGTAGATGTGGGGGAACGTGGTTGAACATGGGTAATGTAGGGTAGATGTGGGTGAATTGCGTAGAACATGGTTAACTGAAGGTAGATAGGAGTTAACGTGGTACAACATGGCTAACATAGGGTAGATGTGGGTGAACGAGGTACAACATGGCTAACTTGTGGTAGGTGTGGGTTAACGAGGCACAACATGGTTAACTTGGGGTAGATGTGGGTGAACGTGGTACAACATGGTTAACTTAGGGTAGATGTGGGTGAACGAGGTAGAACATGGTTAACTTAGGGTAGATGTGGGTGAACGAGGTACAAGATGGTAAACTTAGGGTAGATGTGCGTTAATGTGGTACAACATGGTTAATGTAGGGTAGATGTGGGTTAACGAGGTACTACATGGCTAAGTTAGGGTAGATGTGGGTGAACGTGGTACAACATGGCTTACTTAGGGTAGATGTAGGTGAACGAGGGAAAACATGGTTAACTTAGGGTAGAAGTGGGTGAACGTGGTAGAACATGGCTAACTTAGGGTAGATGTGGGTTAACAAGGTACAACATGGATTACTTGGGGTAGATGTGGGTTAACGTGGTAGAACATGGTTAACTTAATGTAGAAGTTGTTTGAACGTGGTACAGCATGGTTAACTTAGGGTAGATGTGGGTGAACAAGGTAGAGCATGGTTAACCTAGGGTAGATGTGGGTGAACGTGGTACAACATGGTCAACTCAGGGCAGATGTGGGTGAACGTAGTAGAACATGGTTAACTTAGGGTAGATGTGGGTAAACGTGGTACAACATGGCTATCTTAGGGTAGATGTGGGTTAACGTCGCAGAATATGGGTAACTTAGGTTAGATGTGGGTGAACGAGGTACAACATGGTTAACTTAGGGTAGATGTGGGTGAACGTGGCAGAACTGGGCTAACTTAGGGTAGATGTTGTTGAACGATGTACAACATAGTTAACGTAGGGTAGATGTGAGTTAACGAGGTACAACATGGCTAACATAGGGTAGATGTGGGTGAACGAGGTAGAACATGGTGAACTTAGGGTAGATGTGGGTTAACGTGGTACAACACGGCTAACTGAGGGTTGATGTGGGTGAAGGAGGTACAACATGGTGAACTTAGGGTAGATATGAGTTAACGTGGTACAAAATGGCTAACATAGGGTAGATGTGGGTGAACGAGGTACAACATGGCTAACTTGTGGTGGATGTGGGTTAACGAGGCACAACATGGCTAACTTGGGGTAGATGTGGGTGAACGTGGTACAACATGGTTAACTTAGGGTAGATGTGTGTGAACGAGGTAGAAGATGGTTAACTTAGGGTAGATATGGGTGAACGTGGTACAACATGGTTAACTTAGGGTAGATGTAGGTGAACGTGGTAGAACATGGTTAACTTAGGGCAGATGTAGGTGAACGTGGTAGAACATGGTTAACGTAGGGTAGATGTGGGTGAACGAGTTACAACATGGTTAACTTAGGGTAGATGTGGGTGAACGTGGTAGAACATGGCTAACTTAAGGGAGATGTTGTTGAACGAGATACAACATGGTGAACTTAGGGTAGATGTGAGGTAATGTGGTACAATATGGCTAACATAGGGTAGATGTGGGTGAACGAGTTATAACAAGGCTAACTTAGGGTAGATATGGGTAAACGAGGTAGAACATGGCTAACTTAGGGTAGATGTGGTTTAAGTAGGTACAACATAGTTATCCTTGGGTAGATGTGGGTGAGGGGGGTAGAACATTGTTAACTCAGGGTAGATGTGGGTGAACGAGGTACAACATGGTTAACTAAGGGTAGATGTGGGTGAACGAGGTACAACATGGTTAACTTAGGGAAGATGTGGGTTAACGAGGTAGAACATGGTTAACTTATGGAAGATTTGGGTTAACGTGGTAGAACATGACTAACTTAGGGTAGATGTGGGTTAACGTGGTAGAACATGGCTTACTTAGGGTAGATGTGGGTTAACGTGGTAGAACATAGCTAACTTAGGTAGATGTGGGTTAACGTGGTACAGCATGGCTAACTTAGGATAGATGTGGGTTAATGATGTACAATATGGTTAACTCAGGGTAGTTGTGGGTAAACGTGGTACAACATGGCTAACTTAGGGTAGATGTGGGTGGACGAGGTACAACATGGTTAACGAAGGGTAGATGTGGGTGAACGAGGTACAACATGGTTAACTAAGGGTAGATGTGGGTTAACGAGGTACAACATGGCTAACTTAGGGTAGATGTGGGGGAACGTGGTACAAGATGGCTTACTTAGGGTAGTGTGGGTTAATAGGGCAGAACATGGCTAACTTGTGGTAGATGTGGGTTAACGAGGCACAACATGCTCAACTTAGGGTAGATGTGGGTGAACGTTGTACAACATGGTTAACTTAGGGTGGATGTGGGTGAACAAGGTAGAACATGGTTAAGTTAGGGTAGATGTGGGTGAACGTGGTACAACATGGTTAACTTAGGGCAGATGTGGGTGAACGTGGTAGAACATTGGTAACGTAGGGTAGATGTGGGGAAACGTGCTGCAACATGGGTAACTTAGGGTAGATGTGGGTTAACGTGGTAGAACATGGCTAACTTAGGGTAGATGTGGGTGAACGAGGTACAACATGGTTAACTTAGGGTAGATGTGGGTGAACGTGGTAGAACATGGTTAAGTTAGGGTAGATGTTGTTGAACGAGGAAGAACATGGTTAACTTAGGGTAGATGTGAGTCAAGGAGGTACAACATGGTTAACATAGGGTAGACGTGGGTGAACGAGGTACAACATGGTGAACTTAGGGTAGATGTAGGTGAACGTGGTACAACATGGTTAACTTAGGGCAGATGTGGGTTAACGTGGTAGAACATGGTTAACTTAGGGTAGATGTGGGTAAACGTTGTACAACATGGGTAACTCAGGGTAGATGTGGGTGAACGAGGTACAACATGATTAACTTAGGGTAGATGTGGGTTAACGTTGTACAATATGACTAAGTTAGGGTAGCCAAGATGGCTAACTTAGGGTAGATGTGGGTAAACGTGGTACAACATGGCTAACTTAGGGTAGATGTGGGTGACCGAGGTACAACATAATTAACTTAGGGTAGATGTGGGTTAACGTGGTACAACATGGGTAACTGAGGGTAGATGTGGGTGAAGGAGGTACAACATGGTTAACTTAGGGTAGATGTGGGTTAACGTGGTACAACATGGCTAACTTAGGGTAGATGTGGGTTAACGAGGTACAACATGGCTAACTTAGGGTAGATGTGGGTGAACGAGGTACAACATGGTTAACTTAGGGTAGATGTGGGTTAACGTGGTACAACATGGTTAACTTAGGGTAGATGTGGGTTAACGTGGTACAACATGGTTAACTTAGGGTAGATGTGGGTTAACGAGGTACAACGTGGTTAACTTGGGGTAGATGTGGGTGAACGTGGTAGAACATGACTAACTTAGGGTAGATGTGGGTTAAGGTGGTAGAATATGGCTAAGTTAGGGTAGATGTGGGTTAACGTGGTAGAACATGGCTTACTTAGGGTAGATGTAGGTTAACGTGGTAGAACATGGCTAACTTAGGGTAGATGTGGGTTAACGTAGTAGAAGATGGGTTACGTAGGGTAGATGTGGGTTAACGTGGTAGAACATGGCTAATTTAGGGTAGATATGGGTTAATGTGGTAGAACATGGCTAACTTAGGGTAGATGTGGGTTAACGTTGCAGAACATGGCTAACTTAGGGTAGATGTGGGTTAACGTGGTAGAACATGGGTTACTGAGGGTAGAGGTGGGTTAACGTAGAAGAATAAAGGTAACTAGGACATATTGTAAGTATTACATGAACCTCATAACATATATATTGTCAGCCATTTTGTCATCTATATGGCATTCAGCCATGGGGTATATACCACAGAACACACGATGGGACATACAATCACACCCGCACAGTATCATGGTAGTGGCATCCCTCGGCCACAGCCATATTTAATTAGACTTTCGTTTTGATTTGATGTTGTGTTTATTTTTATTTCGACGTGAGTTTCCTGTGGATTTGGACATACCGCTCAAAATTCAGGCAGGGTCGGCACAGTTTGATCTGGGCTGAACTTCAGAATACCCCGCAACTTTGGTCCGCCTCACTTACATGTGTCGGGAGGCTTTGAAGATCGAGGCATAACACAATAGACGCTATTCTTATTCAATGACATGTAAATGAGTTGCGGGGTATTCTGAAGTTGCTCCTTTATCTGTCTTCGACTTCAGGTTGTTTGGCGGTTTTCTTAAAGCGATGCCCCTGGGGATCCTATTGGATATCTCTCCCGTTTGGCACTCGTTCTGGTCGAGAACGATTTTTATAAGTCATGTTCCTAATTCGATTTCGGAAGCACAACCTCTTATTTTGGCTTTGTTTACCGTCACTGACGTATCGCTTTTTGTCTCTCAGTTTAAAAAGTTCGTGCGATCGGCCGCGTGTGAAGGTGCAGCGCACCTGACTCCTTACGCACACACTGCGAATTATAGGCTATATAAGTAACGAACTCTCTTTTCCCTGAAGCCTGAGTTCTATAGCCTCTCGTTTGAACCTGGGTTTCTTGCTCCGAAAAGAGACTCAAGCTATGTAACACCAATTTGTTACGCAAGGCTTTAGTCCAGTCCCAGACGGTTAGAATTCAGCTCGTTGCAAGGTTGGCGGGTTATCCCGACATTTCGACTGTTCGGCCAAATGTGGATCCTTCAAGGTCCGCAAGGAAGTTCACATTTGGAAAATACAGGTCCGTATCTCATTATCTTCATTTCACTTATTGACTTAACAGCGAGCTACTGCATCTCTCCTTCTCGGAAAACCTACGCCATGTTTTTTTCTTCAGGTATTTTGCTAACGGTAGGAGTGGATCATGTAGTAGGAAGAAAGGGTAAGTCTGATGCTGGTCGCGTTGATTTTCTGTTTGTAAGTCTCGACCGGCTGTAGTCTGCTTCAAATCTACCATGGCGTTTTATGGACATGAAGAGAATTTAATAAATGTTTCATTGCTGATCGGGCTTCATGCATGTGTAAGTGTTGGTGATGGAACGATATTTCTTTACTCTGAGAACAGTTGAAGAATTCCATCGGTTTTCTTTCGAGTCTGAATGACTCGTGGCCTAAATTTTTAGTATTGCTTGAAAAACAAATATTCTAATCATACTTAGAGGTTACTTTTATTTGATTTTACCTCACGAGGTAAAGAAGTCATTAGTTGCATATGCAAGCTCAGGTTTTATATGAATTAATATAGTTGTTTCTATGTTTTTAGATTGCCCAATTTTAATACAAGGTGATGCTTCCATAAGTCGCAAGCACAGTGTTCTCACAGTTCAACACGATGTGGCTCACTTGGTAATCAATGTTTATTTCACTTGTTTCTTCACTTCTAATGCTGTAGTTTTCATTGGAGTGTCAAGTTAATCCAGACTTCCTTTGCTTTAGTTTACCTCACTCTGGTGTTGGTCAAGAAAACTCTTATTGTCCTTCAAACTAATCAGAGGCAAAACAACACCAATCATGATTTGGCTACTTATATTTCTCACACTTACCGCAGTGATCTGATTTAGTGCCTGGGGGGGCTTATTCACTCTGGTTACCTAAAGGAAGGGCACTTATTCAAAACAGGGTCCCTAATAGGGACAGATCACTTTAATGCTTATTTGAAAAGGATTTAGTAAAATGGAAAATGGAATTGCTGTCCCTGAATTCTTCCAGGCTAAAACAATTTAAGCCAAGCAATCACCACAAATTTTAAGATGAGATCATTTGCTTTAAGGAACTGTGCACTCACACAGACATGAAGGCCTTTGTAATGAGGCTATGAATGAGCAATTACATATTGATCTCAGTGATCGGTAACAGTGCTACTGCTGAAACAGGATAGGGGCATGTTTTGTTACAGGGACACTTATTGGAATGGTCACTAATATACATTGTATTAAGGTATTGAGAGAAGGCAATCAGAAAACTTTACACTTTAATTAGATCTATATTTCTATTTTTATTGACATGAATGAATCAACTTTTCCTCTTTTTATTAGCTGGCAGTATTTCCTCTTGAAATAAAAAAATTACAAACCCTCATTGATGAAAAAAATTGACAGGATTTGAGCTTCAAGAGCTACCCTATTTTGTTGCCTTGCTTAGAGTGAAGAGCTAAAGCGAGAAAAAAAGGCATGAAAAGATTCCTGTCAATTCCATGTGTATGGTGGAAGAAACCCACAGTAATTAGCTGGCAGTTTTTCTCCTTGAAATAAAAATCACAAACCCTCATTATTGAGACAAAAATTGACTGGATTTGAGCTTGAAGAGGTGCTCTATGTTTTCCTGGTGTTGCCTAGGTAAGGGTGAAGAGCTTAGGTGTGAAAATGGCATGAAAATATTCCTTGACAATTCCATGTGAAAGGAGGAAGAAACCCCCAGTACTTGAGGTGTACACAGCTACTCTGTTTAATTCCTTTCATAATTACTTCACACTTATCTTACAGAATGATCCAAACAAAAGGTCACAAGTGGTTCTTCAGGACTGCTCCAAATATGGTACCTCTGTTAATGGGGTTAAAGTCAGAGGAACAGTTAACTTGAAAAGTGGTGATGAATTATTGTTTGGAAAAAATAACAGCTATTACATGTAAGTAGTAAAGATATTTCCTTAAATCCCTTATATTGAGAGAGATCTATACACAGTCTTTATAAAGGTAGTGCTATTTTCTCTTCAGGTGAAGCAGTCTTATATATTTGACATTGGTCAGTTTTTTGCCTCAATTTTTTTTGTTTAACCCCATGAATACACCTTGAAAATAAAGATCAATAAATGTCTCATGTCAAAAAAATGAATAAAAAACCATTGATTCCAGGCTAGTGAAATCTTAGAAAGCTTTTGTAATGCAGTAAAAATAAATCCACTGGATTTCTGAATTGAATAATCTGGCTATGGATTCAATTTTTTTTAAAGTCATTAGTAACATCTAAATGTTCATGGACATTTGTATACTTGGATGATTGATGTAAGATACAGAGAGAGGAAAGATAAATTCTGAGCCTCATCATCAGATGAGGAAAGATGAGTTAAAAACATTTTTTCACAAGTGTAACACAAAAGAAAAAGTTCCTGCTGAGGATTCTTGTTACAGTCAGTTTTGATTTCCAAGTCAGATGACCTCCCCTGTAAAGAAGGGAGCTGGTCTATACTCTACCTTAGGTTTGTTATGGGTATTGTCCTACCTACTTCTGAGTTCAACAATTTTGAAAACTTCCATTAAAGGGAAGTCTTGCTATTACTTGGTGTATTTTAAAAATTGTCACATTCAGTTTTGACTGTCACCTCTGTTGTCCACGAGGGCTCACAGATTTTTTTTTTTAAACGTTTCTTTAAGGTTAAAGTACAGTCCTTTGGTTGTTTGTACATCATGTCTTGATGAAAAAAAGAAAGAGGTTTTGAAAAGTGAAATTCATGAACTTGGTATGTATCATAAGGGAGATTTGTAACATAACTGAAAAAATTACAGGTTTCTTACTGGCTGAAAATGAGTTCTTTTTTTCATGTAACACGAGTGCAAATTACAAGTAGTGTGCATGCTGTCAACATTTTGTCTGTCTTGACTTTCTATGATGCCTTTTTTTATGTAAATTATTATTATTGTTATAGCATGGTTTCTTGTGCAATGGTGTAAATAACCACTTAGAAACTTTTCAAAGACTACAAATTGGACTTTCCCTATGTGCTTGTGCAATTTTGTTGTCTACGAAAAATTTACTTGAGCTTCATAATAGTAAAGTGCACTCAAAACCATGTTATCATTGATACTAATCGATAAAAATTATTTGGTTTTGCTTAGTGTAAATGGTTTATACCTCTGTGAAAATCTTTAAACTCTAATAGTGGCTATCATTCCAATAAAAATAAGTGTAATGTTTCTTAACTGAAGATACTTGGAAGTGAGCAAGTGATAAAGATACACCCTATATGACAACTACATGGAAAAATGCCATCTGAGCAAAGAGAAGAGCTTTTAAGAAGTATCTATATGAAAGGACTCAACAAAACTGGGAAGAGAAAGTGAAATGTTGCAATGAGGCAGTCAGACAAAGAAGAATTGCTGTTTGGCAATACTGGAAGAAAAAGACTTCTGACCTTAAAGAAAACTCAAGAAATTTTTTCAAAAATTTTTTAACTGTTTCTTGGCTCTAGGAAGGGGGTCATGGGAACTGATATAAACTTAAAAGTTGACAGCAAGATCATTAGCAACCAAGAGACTGTTGTGGAAATATTCGCAGATCATTTTGAAACAGTAAATATATGTTATTTGCCAGCTGGGAGGTCTGTATGGTGAAAAACTGTGACTGAGGTCTTGAAAATTCTACAGCCGAGGGCAGCATTTCAAGACCGAGGTCACAGTTTTTCACCATATGGACTGACCCTTAGCCGGTAAATAACATATTTATTTTTTTTAAACTTGACGAAATTCTTTCCGAAAGAACCCGAATGATTTAAATACGGCAAGATCTTCCATAAACTGAACAATGTTTGAGTGAGTAAATGGTAGTTAAAATAGAGGTGATGCAAATTTAGAAGAGATGCCTCACTGAAACCTTTTTTATTTCCGTAATGACAAAAGTGATTTAAAAGGCTTCCAAACAAACTTTGAAACATTATTTTTACAAGTATCTGTCACAATTTGACACCTGTCAGTTAGGGAGCGCACAAGAAAAAAAAAGCGCAAGAGCATTTGAAAAACAAGGGCACAAGTTTGGCAAGGACTGTCATGACAATTTTTTCTTCAAAAACAGTCAATGATCTAACGGAAAGTATTTTTCACTCTCATCAACGATTCATTCATATACGAAGATTTACCTCTGTTCATTAAGTAAACGGAAAGGAAAGCAATTGTAAAAATTCAAATTTTTTATTTTGAAGTTGTGAGAGTTTGTTCGTTTGTTTGCTGCAATAGCATGTGTAAATGTGGTCTTTCCTCCACAAAAGCTAAATTCGAATGGCACACTCCAATGAAAGAGATGGGGATTTAATGCAGCCTTTTCTCATCAGATTCCTTCAGTTTCTTTTGTGCAATTTACGGTACAAATGTCCAAACTGAACGGACTTGGAAAGACTCACCGAGAGCGTAAAGTTGTTGTAGAACTTAAATTAAAACTTCGCTTGCTCTTTCACTACGAACAAACTGTTTGAGAAAATTCAGATATTAAATGAATGAAAGTTCCATCATTCAGTTTAACTGTAACCAAATACTTCATGTTTTAACTTTCTATATACTTTTTGTGAATGATTAAAATTAATTGCAGACGGTTTTTAGGCAGCTTGTCAACCAACGTAATGACACTATTTACCTATATTTTTCTGTCAACCAAAGTGATTTGAGACAGAGAAAAGAGAGGATTCATAAATTATTTATCAGCTTGAGGTAGTGACCGACATGTTTGCTTAAAAATACTGCCCAGCTGGAAAAATGAGATATATTTATGAAAAATGGCAACGAAAGTTGGGATGTACTCGATGACTCATGCATGAAAGCGTTACCGTGGCCCGTGGGCAGAGATAGGAAAATACTGACTGGGTAAAGAACCAATCAGATTGCAGGATTTGTTACCGTGCCCTCTAAAAAAAAAAAAAACAAGCGATATCGGAGATGTCAACTTAAGAAACTCCTCGGTGAGTGACTTAAATAACCATCCAAGTGTCTTGTAAATATGAATAGCAAATAGTTTGAAACCCATGATCAAGTCCAATCCAGTTAACCAAGTACAAGTCAGAAATGCTCTAGAGTCACTTAATACAAGAAGAGCATCTGGATGTGACAATTTGCAAGCCAGAGTATTGAAGTATGTGTTGCATAATCAGCTATTCATTTGAACTATTATTAATCCTATTCATTCCGCCATTCACGTTTTGTCGCAATATAAATACTTGTTAATAAGTGTATATTGTCCCAACCGTAATATATGAGGAAATGCTACCAATTATATAAACTCGTGAGTTTAGGTCTAGATGGGATTATTACTTTGATTAGTGTGTGTATGAATAAAAAACTTTTGCAGAACCAAGTAGTTCACATGGTGTCGGCATTTAACAAACCCAGCCAAGACTAACGTCAACAGCAATCACCGCCAGCTCTTTGGAAACATCAACCCTCTCAATCTACAATGGCTGCATTGGAGCATTTACCAGCACCAAAAGGAAACTTCATGCCGGGCCTTGAATGTTACCAAAAGTGCTTGGATTGGGTTGAGGAATGCAAACTTCTTTTGAATGGTCTGCTAGCTTCGAAGAGCAAAGCTGTGAAAGCAAATTATGTTCTCATTTGGTTAGGATAAGCTGGAAGAACACACATTAAGTCACTGAATCTCATCATGCGAGTGCTACCACCAAGATTCTGACGCAAGTGTCTAGTGTGGAGTGCCTCAAACCGTTATGACAGACAACAGCCCCCTATTCTCGTCGAAGGAATATGTAGCCTTTGCAAACTAATACCACTTTGACCACATCACGTCAAGCCCTCGTTACTAACAGAGTAATGGTTTCATTGAACGTATGGGGCAGACAGTCAAGCAGTGTATGAGGAAATATGTAGTTGCAGGACATGATCCAAGCTTAGCTATGTTGATCTACAGAGCCACGCTTTATTCATCCAGCACAAGAGATTGCTCCGATACCTGCCGAGAGTATGAAGCGTGGCAACAGCAGTAGCAGCGAACGACCAAGACATGTGATTACAAGACCTAAAAGACTTATAGAGACAATTTAATTAGTTTCAGCATTTCAGTTAAGGCCTAAGTTTTTTTTTAGTAGAGGGGAGATGTTGCATAATCAGCAATTCATTTGAGCTATTATTAATCCTATTCATTCTGCCAATCATGTCTTGTCACTTTTTGTCACAATATAATTACTCGTTAATAAGTGTATATTGTCCCAATGGTAATATGCAGAAATGCTACCAAATATATAAACTTGTGAGTTTAGTTCTAGGTTGGATTATTACTTTGATTAGTGTGTGTATGAATAAAAAACTTTTGCAGAACTGAGTAGTTAGCAGTAAGGAGTGGAAAAACTTGCTATACCACTGGCGAATCTTTACAATTCATGTATTATAAATTTTAATTGGCATTTCTGTAGTGCTACTGATAAGAGAAAGCTCAAATGGATTCAAGAAAGAGCAGTACGGGCAGTTTTCCTAGATAAGCAATCAAGCCACCAAGCATTACTGGACAAGAGTGGTCTAATGATGCTTCAGAGCAGAAGACTGCAAGATAATGCTATAATGCTAAGGTGAAACATAAACTATGCCCCACCACAACATGCAAGCTATTTCACACGCATTTTTCATCCTACAACTTAAGGGTGGTGGAGTTTGCCATCCCCTGATTTAGGACCAAGAAATATAGTAAACATTCGCTCACCTACCTGGGACCAAAGTTGCGGAATAAGCTACCAAGCAAAATTAGAACCCTCCCATCATTATTTAGTGTTAAAAATTGTATCCATAAATTTGATTTCAGCTTAATGGTAGAAGATGACAATTGTTCCAATTGCGTCCTTTGAATTCTTAATCATTTCTCTTTTTAATAATTTATCCCATTAGTCAATAGTTAATAGGTTTTTAGCTATATTATATTGTTAGGCTTTTTTTAAATAGGTCATTAGAAAATAGTTAGTAGGTTATTAACTATATTAAGGGTCCCCTATTAGTAGAGGGGTTTTTAACCCAGTCAGCTAGATATTCAAGACAGATTAATAAAGTTTATGAATGAACGAATAAAACCTTACGAATCTTTAAGAAAATTTTTGAGATTTGATACATTGTTTGAAGTAGGGAACATTTTCAAGATTTAAAAATCCTTAAGTATCTGAATTGCATTGGATCACTTTTTTTTCATGCCATGGTATGTGTGATACTAGTTATGGAGACATATTGGAGTGTAGGATAACTACATTTTATGCTGTAGAGAACTTATTTTAATTTAAGGAAAATAATTTTATTAATTCCAGGAGGTCACTTAGTGAATGACTGGAGGCAAGGAATTGTGAGTCATCTAGTGATGGATGAATTGACATTTACTATTAAGGTATAGTATGATTAAAAGTCCTCTAGCTTTTTTGAACTTTTTTAATGGAATGAAACTTTTTTCATTGGTTGGTTTTTTAATTTTTGAGTTGTAACCCTTGGTGAACAAGTGAAACATATGCATTATTGAGAATGGGGAAACTTTTATCAATGGCTGAAAAATTGGAACATACCTTCAATTGGCAGCAGTTGAATTAAACAATGAATTTCAATCTGATGAGATCCAGCCACCCATTAGTAGTAAACATTGTTGAACACACAGATAATTATTGATGTCATACAACAAAAGCACCCAGTGAAAATCTGGGTGGGAAAAGATGCAGGGGGAGCGGGAATTTGCAAAATTTCACCATCTGTTTTGGTTACCACAAAGGCAATCTATACACTTGACTGCCTGGGTACCAGTACCTAGTTTAGGGTGGAATTATCTTAACAGTTTTATTATTTAGAGGCTTCTTTTGACTCTTTTAAGTCTCTGTTACATGAAGAGAATCACAAAGAACTGTGTAATATGAAACCACAGGAGATTTGCCAAAGCAGCATTATTTCCCAGGTATCAACATGCAAGTAATATCAGTTAATATGGCCTTACTCATTTTTAGGTCATTCATGCATTAGCTGAGTGCAGGCCAATTGTCAAGCCTTCTTACTTTGGAAATGTTATAGAAGCAGGGAATATAAGATCCACTATTCCTGCAGCTGAAAGGTATAGCATATGATTCATTTATTCCAAAGCACAGGCACGGATGCAAATATCTCTTAGTTTTCAGCTGGCATCAATCATACAGACAAACTCACCAAGACAGCGTGTTAATTTGGTTTTATCAACAAAGTTGAAAATGTAAAATGGTCACCTTAGAGAGTTATCAAAGCTGATGTTTCGAGTGTTAGCCCTTCATCAGAGCAAAATATGCTGTTTGACTTTGAAGTACAATTGGAGAAGGAGTGAAAGTGGTCTTATGACGTACATTATGTGGCAAATAAATCATTTTTCCTCTTCAGTAAAGGTTGGAAAAGACTCCTCAGGTTTCTATGCTTTCAAATTTTGGGTACAGCTTGGGATATGCTTGCTATGGGACCAAAACTTCATCTTCAAGACTTAATAGGCCTCAGGCAATAGATTTTTGTTCAGTTAGAGATCTTTTTAATGTTGATATTTGTGTTAGGTTCTCTATTCCTTTGTATTCATCTTTATTTGTGTGCTCTCTGCTGGGTTATAACAAGTGGCTGTTCAGATCCTTTTTATGATCCAATGTACATGTGTAAGGCTATCAATGATAAAATGTTTTGCTATGCCTGCAGCTACCTCCCACTCTTGAAAGAGGAGACTATCAGTTCTCAAGATGCCAGTTTTCTTCCCAATGAGGCCAGAAAGACTTTGTTCAAAGGCAAAACATTTATTTTCATCAGTAAAAAACAGGTAATTTATATCTGGATATGGTTGCCGAAGTGGTCACATTTTGTTTTTAGGTTTTGTTGTGTATTTTTGTGGCTAATGCCTCCTGTAGGGTGGCAAAACCACATAAAGTATGTTGTCAAAATAAGTGAGTGAGTGTAACAATAGAATTCCAATCTTGACCTGATGTTTTCTGGTGCTACATATTGTTTGTTTTTGAGTATCTTTGTAGTTGGACATTTGAACTCGACACACGGTTGAGTTCTCTCTTTTCAGAATTTCTGGCCTGTAGCCACTAGCACATGTTTTCAGTTCTTGCCTTGACACTAAAGAAGACAGCAGAAGATGATAAATTTCTGACAATGATTTCAGGATTGTGGGTAATTTTTCTTAAAGAAAGTTTTCCTTGCAGAAATACCTTAATAGGTGTTATTGGCGTATCATGAAACTAAGTGGAGAATATAATGGATGATAAACATCTCAAAGTAATTTCACAGTGGCATTCACTGACAAATATTTTACATCAAAACTTTTCCTGGCAGAAATATCTGAATAGATGCGATCTTCACATTCTTTGAAAATAGAGAACTTTAACATTTTAATCAGTGACTTATGCTGATAAGAGGCACTAAATTTACGATGGGAGAAAGCTGCAAAATACAACACCTTGAGTTATTCAATAGAATGATGGAACGAAGGAGTGGTGGATTGGTGGAATGGCAGAATATCTTAAGATGGGGAGTGATGGAATATTCTAAAATGCAGAATGCCTTTTTGTATGAAACAAAAGTCTTAATAAAATGGAATTGCAATAAAATAAGAAAACTGTGTATAATTGGTAGGCAAAATTATAAGAAGCATACAATTAGGTGATCATTGCTGGAGCCTAGAGAATAGGGGAACCATTAAGCTTTTGACCTAGCCCCTTTGATCATTATTATGGAACTATTTTTATCATCATTACTATTGTTGATTTTATTATTTGTTACCTTTAAATTGTTGGTTGAATGTCAGTTAGGCAATATATTCTTGAATCATTTCTCTCTTGTGGCACAGGGTACTCATGGATATGTGGGATTCAGCAGGTTTTCTGTTTTGCATGTGAGACAAATATTCTGCAACACAACCTTTTAGTGTCATTATATAACCTCTACTTCTTTTCAGTGCCATAAAACTGTGCTATATCTAAAGCCACATGCAGTCCTTAACTGTCTTTTTTTTTAGTACAAGAGAGTACACTATGCTGTGGAATCAAGCGGTGGAATCACTTTATTGAGGGACAATCCTGGGAGTGAGAATGATGACTTCTTGGTGTCAGGTAATGTTTGTGTTATGATGGTGGACACAAAAGATCAAAGTACACTACCTGTTACTTCTCAGCAATGGATTTTACATGTCACAGAAACTCTAAGAAGGTTAGTATGGGTTCATGTTTCCTCTCAAGGATCTTTTATAATGTTTTACAATTTTTTTTAACTGCCAGGGGTTTGCAAGAAATCTGGTTAAAATGCATCCTGTTGAGTTTTTTCATTTGATTTGATTTAGAGCTCAACATATTTTGTTGTTATTTGTTACTTGTGTCACTCAATCTTCAGTTGAAAAAGCCTCTCTGTAATGCACAGGTAGCTGTTTCTGGGCAAAATCAGATTAAAAACTTACTATGAATTCATTAGGTTGCATTAAGAAAACAAATATATATATATATATATATATATATATATATAGATTGCTTTCAAGAGAATAGTTTAGGCATTTTATAATTCCATGAAATCTTGTTAACAGGTCTTTTATTTTAACAGAAACAAATGTCGCCCCATTCCTGAATCTGAGCTAGGCTTGGCACTACTGTTTATATCTCTGGACAAGTACTGTAATCCAAGCCTTGCAGCAGGTTCGGAATTTGTCATGTTCACATAATTTTTATGCTAACAAGGTTGCTTGCATTTTACATTGCTCTATATTTTTTTATCAGTTCCATCTTTAACACAGAATCTTGTGAGCCAGTCTTTTCAAGCTGTTGAAGTAATGTCAGAGAGAGTTTACTCCGAACAACTTACAGTGCAGGAGGTAAATCTAATTCAGAGTCAAATTGTTATTAAAGCACTCTACCTGTAGGATACATATATGTTGTGGCTTAATTGGTATCTGCTGAGGAAAATAGAATATTCAGTGCTTTCATGCTGTGATTCATTGAGAGCTTCTGAAAAGGACTTTAGTGTAACAGTGGCTGAACCTGAAATCATTATCAGAGACAAGTGAATTACAGTAATTTATCTCAGGATGACTCCCATTCAGGAAAGCAGTTCTTTCTAGGACTGTCATTGCTTAGGTGATCACAATACTCAATCAATCAATCAAGATAGACAATCAATTAAGATGAGACTTCTGACCATTTTTCTTAGCTGCTAGAGTGTCAGACTACCAATCAAAAAGGCTGTCACCCCTGGACTGTACTCATATTCTGGTTCTTAAAGTTTGATTTAGGAGAATATGCTGCCTTAACAATCACATTCCACAAATGGTTAGACATTGTATTAGTTTTTGATAAAGATGATGAAATGTAGGCCCTATCTACCTTTCCATTGTGGTCAGCAGGGGATACCAAAGAGCTCCCACAATGGGATTAGTCTAAGTCTGCAAAAACTCTTTTCCATTTGATACAAAGTGCTATGTGAACTGGTAGTCCTCAGCAGGTCATTAAAACAGGGCATGAAAATTTATTCAATGAACTTCACAAATGCCAATGAGATATGTGTTCACTTTTGGTAATGGGAGGAAAGGAAGGTTAGTGATGATGAAGTAAAAGGTCTGATGTCACAGGGACACCCACCATCTGTCTGACTCATCACAGCCAGCCCAAGTGATTGGCTCACTGTTGTCACATGAGCAGACAAAACACTGATTGATTAGTTGTCATTTGAATTCCAGGCACACGAGAGTGCCATGATTGTCTGGTTGGCAACTTCAACAGTGTAAGCATGTGGTTGGTCATGTGGCCACATGTCAAATGCTTATGTTGAGTTATGGGGTGGGATACCAGTGACGCCTCATGATCGCAGTACAGATATCTGAAACCTTCATCAATTGGCTGATTGATGGGATTGTGAAGGTCAATAATGTTGGAATATCAAGATAACAATTTGATTTGTGTAATTCAAAAGATTTCTTTTTGTGAATTAGTTCAAGAAACCACCAATACCTGTGAGGCCCAAAAAAGAGGACAGAACCCAAAGTTCGAATGTACAGCAGAGCAGCAACACACTTAAGACGGTTAATACTGGTGAAAAGAGGTGTGAGTTTATCTATTTATGCGGAAAAATCGCCGAAATGTTTCTATTTAACAGATTTTCCCCAAATAAAAGAAAACGGGATAAGTGTGCTCCTTTTACATGGAAAGAACTTTTGAGGGCCTGACTCTGAATTCCACTGTACTACTAATTCTCTGTGCCCACTGTTCCTCTGGTTCTGTGCCCACTGTTCACTGATCCTCTGTACCCACTTACTTTACCCTTCTGCTACTCCTATCTGTTAATTATTAGTTATTTCAGAACCCGGTATATGAGAGACTACCCCAAATGTACAACAAGAAACTTGGTTTGCAAAACAAAAACAAAAGAAAAATGGTGATACTTGGTGCTTGTGGAATGTATCAAGAAGGAAAGTGAATTTTGGGACTTTCCAGGAATTCTTGTTAAAAAAGAAAAGAACGGGGAGAGAGGAAAATCTCTTCACGTATTCATTTTATAGAAAGATTCTCAATAAAAATTGTGCAACCATCTTGGCTCCTGCCCGAGAAAAGTGCGTCGGTTTGTCTGTAGAAATGCATGACAGGACGGAAACCGCGGGCTCTGTAAGTACCTTCTGTTCCCTCCCGTCGTTATACTAAATCCTTATAAGAGTTTTCTAAGGATCTCAGACGGACACCGGGAGGTACTTACGGTGCACGCGGTTTCCGTCTGGTCATGAAGGCGCCCTATGTTTTACCATATTAGGTTGAACGTTAGGTTTTTTTGTAGTTTTAAATATCCTGAAAATTTTTCCAACGGATATGAGATATTACTTAGTGGAAAGTGCTTTGACTCTCTAGAAAGAATATTACTTCTAAGTTCCTGATGTTGTTGGTTTTCTTTGTGATGATGATGTTTTTGTTTCAGGTCCACGAGTAACGAAAGATTTGTGAACAGTTACAGTGTGTCGCCTGCAAAGAAAAGAAAAATAATGGAAGTGGAGAATTCCTCGAGTTTGGTGGCCGAATCATTGGATGTAAGCAAACATGAAGAAAACATATGGGATGATGTTAAATTAGCTCTGGAGGTACCTAACAGCGTTGTTGCGGACAGTTTGGAGGTGAAACGTAACTCCTCCAGAGAAAGTGACTTAAAACCCCAGGACAGAAAGGATTTAATGAACGGCATTGACAATGTTGCTGATATTGTGGATATTGGCGAGAAAAGTCACGTGATAGTCGATGAATTACGTGATTGTGAGGAAATGTATCTAAAAGAGGTCGAACATGGTGGTACTCCGTGGCTTTGTACAAAAGAGGACTTGAAATCAAAGGAAGTTGGAGGAAAAGATAAAGGCTTCTTTTGTGAATCGGTGAAACTACCTTTGGAGATAGAAAATCCATCCAGCTTAGAAGCACATAATGAGGAAGGTACTGATGATATGTGGAAAAATCTATATGTTCCAGCTGGGTACTTTTGCTCTAGGGTTCCTCAAAAGGTTTGTATACAATATGACTTAAACATGCCTTGAACTAGATTAATGTCAGATACAAATTTTATTTTCAAACAGTGAATAACAAGAAGCCGACGGGAAAAGAATTTCGCAGATTTTTCAGGAAAGAAATCTGACCCTTCAAGCCGCAAAACTCTAGAGAAAAAATTTATCTTTCAAATCGGCAATCTTAACCCCCACGGTATCAACGAGTACATTTCCTTCAATTGATTTATTCTTGTTTTCTCGTCACCTTATTTCTTCACACAACCCACAATTCCTCCAATCGCTCTGACGAAGGGCTAACGCTCGAAACGTCAGCTTTTAAACTCTTTACGGTGGCTAATTTACGTTATCAACTCAGTTGATAATACTAAATTACTTTGTTATACTCTCCCACCGACGCAACACCACAGTTTTTTTCGAAACTTACCTCCTTGACCCTTCAAGCGTTTGCAGAGAGGCCGTGAACCCGGCCTTGTGCAAATGTAATGCGCGAAATAAAAAGCTGGCGTTTCGCAGTTATTAAGAATGCTTGGATCGTGTCAAAGATTTTGATGAAAATTACTGAAAATTGACGAACAAAAAGTTAGTACGTCTTAAGTTTAGGAGAATTTTGTAAATTTGCATCAATTCCCTATTCTCAGATGAAAATACATTAGCAGTGAGTACATTTTAATGATACCATCCATGTTTGCATGGGATTGTTTTCCAAATTTTGCCTTTGACGAGTCCTATCCCATAGATTTTCGTCTGTCTGTCAGTCGAAAAAGTATTGTGATAGTTGTTGCTGATGCTAACACGTCAAACTAGTTTGTCATACCAAATCCAACCAATCACAGGCTCGTTTAGTGTTTTCATTTTTTGTATAATTTTCGGTTGTGAAATTTTTGAGCCATAATCTTATAACCTTTCCGAATTCATATGCCTCTATCTTGAAAATATACAGTACTCCACCTGTTTAATGTACTTGATGACAAGAAGGTAACTTGCTTAGAGTACCTTTGCTAACTACGGACCAACAAGTACTTTAACTTTGAGGTTGTAAAAGTGAAGTTACTGTTGTGTTAATTATGTTCAACTAACGTCGCTCTAGCTTTTCCCCGGAATATGGTGCTAGGCAAGCTACATTATCAAATATTTTTCACAGGTGAGCAGAAATGATGTGTTTCAAGATGACGAGTCTCATTTACCGAGGGATTTAATGGTGGTTAATCAGATGTCGCTTGTGGTGCGAACACATATTTCTGTTGCTGCTATACAGAAGACACAACAGAATACCACTAACAAGAATTTCAAGAAATTTAAAAAGGTGTGTGCGCAGAGTTTAAAATCCCAAAGAAGATGCAAAGTAGCGAAATTGAATGAAAAATTACAGGAAGCCCGAGCAAATTAAACGACGGTGAGGAAGAACGTTTAACTCTAACGATTTATCTCACCTTTCCTTCCGGTCGAAACCTACATCCCCTCTCGTCTTAAAAAATGCGTCAAATTGTAATTACAACAGAGAGAAACAGCTTTGCCGATACATGGGCTTTTCTAACGAAAAACTGATCAAAATATGGACAGTTATCATTCCTCAATTGGCTTGTACTATCCACTTATCATTCGACTGATTTGTTACTGAGGCATGTGTGGAACGAAATCTTAAATGAAAACAAAAAACTTTGCTTTGAAGCAACTCTACCCAGGCTCTCGTAGCAGTCTCCCGCGCATCATTGGTGGAAGTGATTTGGCTGTGCACCAGACCTCTGAGCGTTTGGATAACGACGAGTGGTTCGTGGAGGCGAGAGAGGTGAGACTTCTTGTCAACACTGTCACTGGAAACGATTTGAAGGATAATTGGTACATACTATCTATTATTATCTACAATTGTTTTATGTCTTGTCAGGCCGACGTTGAACGACAAAGAGATGAAAGAAGGGCAGATGAATTGTTCAGGTACTTTAAAGATCGATCTCAACCTGTTCTTCTCTGGCTTGTATTCCGAGGCCCTCTGGCATTTGTAGACTCGTTACAAATTTGTTTCTGTCAACTTTATTCCGACTCGTTGTAACCGACCGATATGTAACACGCTAGCGTACTTAAAAAATTGCGGAGCCTTCTCAGTACTTTACCACTGCATGGCAATCAACACATATATCACCAGCACTTGCGCAAACACGCAAGATGTTCTCAGTGTAATATATTCTCTATGTGTTTTGTAGCAGTTTTTGGTCCCTCCCACTTCCATCATTCACAAGAAATATCTACAAGGGAGAAGTGAGTTATTTCAGAGGAACACACCTGGTCCTTAACAATGATCACCACTCTCTTGCAAGTAGTTCTCTTGCTCAAGAGCTGAAGAAGTGTTTTTCATTTTCCTTTACAGATGGGAAGACAAGCCTACCAAAGTTAAAAGAATAAGGAGATGATGTTATCATAAGTCGCAGAGTCATCTTTAAGTTATTCCATATATGGGTTATCTGTTTATTAAAATCCAAGGGATTCAAATAAAACGTTAGTTTCTTTAATGCATATCTAAGATATTGGAGAAAGAGAAAAATAGCACTGAAGTGGATATTTGTAGCTTTTAATTTTATACGCTTTGCATAACTTGAAATAAACTATTTTCGAACTGTTGTGTTCAACGTAATCTCTTGTACTCTATTACAAAGGATTCTTTAGCCACATAATGCTGTTGTAAGTTTATATTTAAGTTTTTTTTTTTAACCAAACCGCACAAATCCCTTTAAGTTGGTTTTCGTTAAAACATTGTGAAGTAGCCATATTCTTTGCCTCAGTCAGGGTTTTATTGTATACATAATGACCCATCATTAACTGAGCTTCTTTTTTTCAAATGATTCCTTTTAATTATAATGTTATAGCCTTTAAGAACTGTAAGGAAAAAGGGACGTTCAAAACTCAGGGACAATTTTTTTTCCGACCCCCGCACAGTTTGCACGTTCTCGTGATAAGATTAATTCGATTTTATGAGAGAAAGCATGCGAAAATATTCACTTTCTTCGAAAATATATTTCATTTCCATATTCAAGGGCGGTGCTATTTTTGTCGTGAATGTTAAGTTTGTAAGGTAACACGAGTTTGTCAGGACAGACAGGCCTTTTTTTGGGGGGGGGGGTGGGCTGGGGTTTGATTCGTGATTAGAAAAGATACCCCTTGCTGATTGAAGTGAGCTATAGGCCTCTTTGTTTTTCGCAAAGTACAAGTCCTTTACGATTTCTTGTTACAGGCCACTTAGTGGTTCAGTATAGATCCTCGAAGATTTCAAAAAAACTCTGACATTTCTTGAAACGAGACCAACTTCCCTCTCCCCGCCCCGAATCAAACTAAGGTACCACATAGAAGCGAGGCGATTCGTTATTGCGGGCACAAAACTCTGGTCAGCGTTATTACTGAGTATGCGCACATTTTCAGCGAAGAAACTGTGGGGGTAATGGCGACGGATTCAGGCACGAATGCTATCGCCGATTTTGATATAGATGAAGTTATAGATTGGGACAAGCACGATATTCCTTCAAAGGTCTGTTAGGTGTTCACTTACGTAACTTTTTACACCGGGAAAGAAATCACTTCCCCATAAATAAATCGGTAAGACTCGATCAAAGTTAAACACCGAAAGACCTTCTAGAAAGTCCCTCTTGTTCCCAGCTTTGCGGAATCCTGGAAAGTGGCCGTGTCTCTTCGAGATAAGATTTCTCGAAGATCGTACATAGCGCCACAGTGACTATGATGTGATCAAAGTATCGTCGGTTGCTAAATTTTCGGGGCTGACCTCGTTTTATTTGTCTTTTTTTTTTTTTTCGTGCGTGCATGGATTTGAGAAAATACAAATGAAGCCAGAGGTGATTCGAAACTGTCGACAAGAGTTCGACCAAGACAGTGGCAAAGAAGCATCAAAAGTGTGGTCGTATTTTTGAAAAATATGACGTGTTGAGAATGTTAAAAGCTGTTTGCAACTGGATTAAATCATAGGGAAGGGTAGGCCGATCAGTCGCAGTACGGAAAACAGGCTTAAGATCACTGGATAAGGATAAAGCTGTGTTTATTCGGGAAAAGCCGTATTAACACGCGGTTTGACGGTCATGTACATTAGAAGGGCAAGTTACAGATGGAGTTTTGTGATCGGACCGTAGCTTGACATGTGAAACATTCTATTAATTATTCATAGAATTTTGCATCCCCAGTAAAAACTTGGCGTAGAATCTATCGACAGCTTCAGTGTTGGATCAAATTAAGCGGAAGTGTTTTATTTTGTGTTTTTTAGGGTTTAACTTTTTGTTTTGGTTTTGTTTTTTTGTATGAAATAAGGATGGTTATATTAAATTACACTGTAGCTCAAGTACAATTCCAATTCCTGATCAGAACAACTCCGATAACTCTCTTGTTTTACATTTTAATATATTCGCCACTTTAGATGGTAACGTACATCTGTCATATTATGAATACGGAATTCTGGTAGCATACCACATCGTCAACTTACCATACATTTGATAAATGTGAACCTTTTTGGAATCTGATCTTTATGTAAATTCTGACAAAAAAAACAACTTCACAAATTTTCCATGTTAAAAATTATCAAAGTAGAACATACTGCCATTTTTCTGGTGATGATTTTGATGGAAGATGCAAAAACAGAAACATGGTCTGAAAATGATCCTAACATGATTTTGTTGGAGATTTTCATGTTGAGTTTTCTTTGTGATTAGGACATTGAGTTTGACCAACTTCAAAGTTTGAATGTAGCAGGATCCAATGTGGTTTCAACACCCACTACACAATCATCGGCAACAAGTTCTCGGAACAGTGGAGGGAATGAAGGTCTGGTCCTGGACAGGAGCTTGCATCATAGCCGTGACCCTGGAACAGCTATTGTCAGTTTACCCCAAGTAAGAAAAAAGTATTTTCTTTCAAAATGATGTCCATTACTTCCTGTATGTTTGGTTTTGTCTCACTGCCAAATCACATCTGATTTCTCATTGTAACATCAAATGTTGCTAAAGAAACAAGTGATGTGTAAACAAAAGCTGCAGTCAATATTCCTGTATGTATGTTTCTCTCTTATTACTGATTAAGAGTGATATGCCCACCCAACTTGCAAACCTGTAAAGTTTTGTATGAGTAAGGAGACTGAACAGCACAATCTAGAGGTTTTATTTTTAACCTTTTTTAAATTTTCTTAGGTTCCACAATCCTCAGCTATAAATCCAGTATTTCCTGGAGACCCTAGTTCTTTGTTAAATGATATCCGTCAGGAGTACCTTCATGTACAGAGTATTGTGGGACGTTCTAGGACGCCACCAACTCCTACTTTTCCATCTGAAAACTTTGATTTACCACCAATTACACCACCTGGATCAATGCATGGTCATTCAACCTTTACTGTTGGTCAGCAGCCTCTGAGAATGGCCCTTTTAGCAAATCTGAATAGGCCAGCAACAGTTCAACCACCGATGCCCTCCTTTGTGCAGACAAACCTCCCTCCCTCTATGAACAATGTTAGCATGAATCCTCAGCTTCAGTCAATGGGAAGTGACTCTAACATTGAGCAACTCATTGATGAAATTGTAGAGCGAGATATGCCTCAAGGTGTCAGTGAGCCAATTGTATTCACACCTCAAGTTCCACAGGAGCCAAATCCTTCAACAGCTCATTTACAGATGGCATCAGATGCTTTACAAAAGGGTATTTCCTCTGGGCCTGTTCGCTCATCAAGTCCTGGACAGTTATCAGTTGCTCCATCAGTTTCAGCTGTAAAAAATACACTACCTCTTGGAGTAGTAACAGGAGGAAGCCCTTTAAATAGTGCCAGTAGTCCAGGAAGTCCACTTGCATCATCCAGAAGTCCAAGTCCCAATGTAAAGCAAACAAACCATGCTGGAAAATTATCTGCTTCAGTAAGGTCCACAAATCAATCTGTGAGACACCCATCACCTAGTATGCAGCCTGGCTCTCCACTGCAGAATATGGGAGGGTTGTCTCCCTCTCAGTCATCAGTGAAAGCCACAAGGACATTTTCTTCACACAGCCCTCAGATTCTAACAAGTTCTAAGATGCTACAAATGGCTGTTCCGTCAGTTGTTGCGTCTTCAAGTAGCAAAGCTGGGTCATCTCTTTCTCAATTTGGGATAAACTCAGCAAAGTTAGCACAGAGTAATGTTCCCATTAAAAGTAATGTGGAAGGAACAGGTGTACATTCTCAGGGTTCTAGAATTACCACGTCAGTACCTGTAGTTCAATCAACTAGTCTACAGATCCAGGGAGAAAACATGGCTACTCATAATATAGGTGTTTCTGGTACAAATCCCAACAACATGTCTACGCAGAAAATTTTGCAAGGGACCATTATTAATCCAGTTGCTACCCAGTCTGGTGTAAAACACAATCAAACTAATCCGTTACAAGCTTTCACATCAAACCCTGCATTGTTGAGTCAGCTTGTAAAAGCCATTGGACAGCCTAAGCAACAGGGACCAACTAGTCAGATTGTAGCATCAACAGGAAATATTCAGACTGGTCAACCACTTATTTGTTATGTTGTTCCACAAAATCCAACATCAGGAGCTCAGAGTTCACAAGTCACCAAATCGTCTCTTCCTGTAGCTACGTCAAATCAGCCTGTAAAAATGATATTAGTTAATACAAATTCAACTCTTAAATCACCTGTGTCAGTGAAACAGCAACCAACTAAAATGACTTTAATGAATGCAGCTAATCCTGGTTTGAATTCCAAGAATGTGTTATCTTTGTCTCAACATGGAGGTGCTAATGCTCAACTGGAAGCTATCTCAAATCCAAGCATTGGTAATCTATTGTCATATGCAAAATCTGACCCTTTATCTTTAAGTGGAGTTAATGGTGAAGCAATCTTAGCACAAAATAATGCAGAACCCTTTATGCAGCTGGGTACAACAGTGCAAAAAATATCTCCTGGGTTGTTTGTAAATAGTCCACATGGGAAACAAAGTTCAACGACCATAGGATCAACACAACCAAGTAGTATACCTCTGCAACAAACACCTTTGCCAGGTAGTGGTAATGTAGTTCAAATAACATTTGTCAATGAGGCAACTGCAATTAGTCAAGTGGTTGCTGCTACACCCTCATCTACATTGTCATCAACATCAGGTACAAGCCAGGCTGTGTCGCAAGCCAGCATCAAACCATCTGCTCCAGGTCCTGCAGAAGACCAAATGTCATCACCACATGTTGCATTAAGTTCTAGCACAGAGCAAATGATTAGTGGGAATCACCAGGACAGTGATGATGAAGATGATGATGACAGTACACCTTTATCACAAGTTGCTGAAAGCCTAAAGAAGGTGACTGGTGCTGATGATGTTAAAAGAAAGAAAAAGAAAAAGAAAGATAAAGGAACTAAGCGTAAGAAGAGAGAAAAAGATGGTCTGGAGCTCAACAAGTAAGTGCATGAGTAACTGACTAATAATGAAGCCCAGTAATGGGTATGTACTAAAACCTGAAACAGCAAAACAGAACAAACAAAATGAAACAAGCCAAAGGACCAAAATGAAATGACCATAATGAGCAAAGCAAAACAAAACAAGTGAAACAAGCGAAACCACTGAAATGACTAAAACAAAATAATAAAAATAAAATGAACCTATTGTAAGGACCACAAGGAAGTGACTGAAACAATCGAAGGAAAAAAAATCAAACAATAGTCAATAATAATAATGAAATAAAATGAATGCCTAGGGGTGTCAGACATCAGCCAACATATGTGACTTGTTTTGATTATGGTCTACTCTAGGTTAACCTCATGGGAAAATTCAGTTATCTCTCACTTGCCATTGGATATGTGTGAGGTGTCAAGGAAACCTTAATTTACAAAAATTCAATTTAAAAAAAGACATGGACATAGAGGTTGTTGTTGAATACCAATATCTGTTTCTTCCTCCTTTCTGTATAGGCTTTGGTATTTAATATGACTGGTGTTCTGTCCTAGAAACTACATATAAGACCTTATTAGTGTCAAATTATAGTTTCAACTGCTCATGTGGTAGAAAAAAAGATAAAGTTTTGTGAGATGGCCTTAATGTTTAAAAGCCTTACATTTTCTGCTACATTCTATCCTCCACTCGTGTAGCAAACAAACAAACAAAAAGTTATTTATCGATTGCATTGATCCTTGCAGTGTCAGAGTAGTGGTTTTGTTTTGGTCATAGGAGATGTTTTGTTTGGTTGTTACAGTCGTTTTGTTTTTGTCATTTCTGTTGTTTCGTTTTGAAAAATGTGGATACTAGATTGTGCATTTGCTCCCTAAGGTTGAGGAAAAGTCTGTCAGGGGAAGTTCACTGAACAGAAAGTACAGCTACATGTATTATGGGAAACTTACCCAGCTGCTTTTCTCTCCTTTTTTTTTTTTCTTTTTTTCAATTTGGACTTTTCTAGGCTAGTAGCTAGGTGCTCCTTTACTGATTTAGTGAAATTACTCTGTCTTTACCGTAAATAGTTGAATGTAATGTTAAGACCTTTTTACAAATAAATGTTTCTCGTAATTTCTTTTGGTTTTTGTATAATTCATTAGAAATAACCTGCCAAAAAACTCTTCTCCAATTGATGGTCAATGTAGTTAGAGAATTCCCTTAACTAAGAAGGAAGTTTTTTGTAGATTGAAAGTTAACGTTTTCAGATTTTGTCTTCATTGTTTAGGCCTCTTACAGCTTATGAGCTGTTTTTCAAGGAGACACAGGCAACCATACGCTCAAAAAACTCTGTGGTATGTTAAGCTTTGTATACACTTTTATGTTGAACATCAGTGCCATGATCTATGTGATACGGTCTCATCAACAATTTTGTGATTGTGTAATGATGTAGTTTTAAGGTTTTTATATTGGGGCTCAGGAATACTAATGCATTTTCCTGTCAGTGAATATAACTGTGGCAAATATGACTGCTTCAGTCTTGTGTGAAGTACATGTACAATATCAGAGGAGCCAACTTCTGGGGATCTCAAACCTGGAGATTCATTTTTGGACCAGCACACCCCCCCCTCCCCCAACTGAATTCACTGATGTGACCCCCTTCCCCCCCCTCAATTTTTTTTGGAATTGAAAAAAAAACCCCACCACCACCGAGCAATTTTGCAAGAAAAACGTGGATCTATTTGTCAGGGTCTTCAATTGGTTAAATACTCATCCAATCAGACTCGCTTGTATAGCAGTAACAAAGAAGAAACTCTCTTTTTGTTTGCGACAAACAAAGTGCATCATGCAAGAAAATGAAGCCAGAAGTCTTAATACAAGCTTAAGAAGCCAGATGATTTTGGAATTTTGGAACATAAGGAGCTTAAATCCAATGTTGTGGGCAACTTATCCAAACTTCCTTTTATCAGGGAGTTTTGGTCACCAGCATGGGAGAGTGGGAGATTGGCTCTGTATCCAGGAGAGTTGGTATACTCGACCCAGTGATAACTTAAAACAGAAACATATAGCCTGTATAGAGTATGTATGCTTCTGCTTAAAAGGAGTGATATGGGAACATCTAAGTGAAAAAATTTAGGTGTGCAAACTACAGTCCACTCTAGATAACTCAATGAGATAATCTTGAAGGAAACTGAAAAAGATTGGAGTTATGAGGAATTTCAGACGTATGACCTCTGAGGAGGAGGAAATGCATGTTTAATGAATTGTTCTGAGAGTCAGCAAGGGTTTGTGTTTTTGGGAGTTAACTGCATCTGAGTTAAATAAAACTTCTTTAACCTGCAAATTCTTTCAAGCCTTTTCATATCATGAGGAATCTATTTGAAACTCCAACAAAATTGTTCTTGCTTGTACTGCAGTTAGCAAAACAATGTATTGATGTGGTACTGAATCTAGATTGTTACTTATTGCCCTTCAAAACATGTGGCTGCAGATTGTGCAGTTCATAATGGACAAAATGTAGCTATAAGATTTGGCCAAGATAATGTATTAAATCCACAATTAATTTCCAACAGGCTCAGTTTGAAGAAATCAAGAAAATTGTGGACCAGATGTGGGAAAACCTAAATGAAAACAACAAAAAGGTATAATGACCCCACTGCTCTATTGTATGCCCAGTTTTACTGTTTCTCAACATTCCTTTACCTCATAGTCTGTCTTCTCTTGGGCTGTTAGCTCTAGTCAGGCTCTCTTGTTACTGTGGCTTGTCAACATGTCATAGCTGATGAGCAACTCTTAGTCTGGTAAACTACTTTAGGGTGTGAGTATGTTTTAGGGGCTCAGGTACTAACACTGAAGGGGAACTTGCCTATTCACAGGCATTGTCATCACAAAAACTTGTTTATTAAACTAGTTACACTCCATGCAGTCACTGTGGTTTTCATTAAATGTAACTGGCCTTATCAATGAAATAAAGACAGCAGATGTGAGGGTTTCATGGATTTAAAATCACTTGTATTTACCATGTATAGGCTTTGCAAGAGAAAGCACAGCAGGAATATAAAAAATCACAAGAGGAACACCAGGCTAGAAAGTTTTTACAAGAGGTACGGGTGGATATCAAGAAAAACTGTCACAAAGTGTTTTACTGTGATTTTGAATTTTGGTTGAGGCCAGTGTGCCACTGTTATGAGTCATAGAGAGACACTGTTGATTGAGTGAAGTGCCACATATACTGATAGGCACATTTGATTTTTGGTTTTGTTTTTTTTTTTGAATAATCCTATTTCTTGGATTGGTAAAAGTGTAGAATATGTTGGTCTGTTAGTTCTTAATTTTACTGCCATCTTTGCTAGTCTAAGGGTTTTCTTTTTCAGATTTCCTATAGAATTATTACGTGCATTACTTGTGTCCTCTGTTCCTTTTAAAACAGGAAGAACCAACTGTAAAACTCAGGAAGATTGACAGAGCAGATTCTATATCATCACCCAGTGTGGGTATACCTGGTACATTGGAACCCAACAAAGACACTTCTGCTGTGGCTGTTGGTAAACCCCTGAGCCGTACTCTAAGTCAGACTCCTATGGCTGGAAAGCCAGTGGCAACCGTACCTCCAATGGCAGCTAATAAGGCACCAACTGGTACAACAACTCAGTCAACAGTCTCTACAAAGGCTAAGGTCAGTGTGCAATGAAGAGAATAATCCCAACTTGGGCATAAATACAATCTTTACAGGAATTGATGATTTTTTTTTTTTTTTAAGTGTGTGGGTGTGTGTGATAACTGGCGCAGTAGCTGTTACCTAGTGGGTTTTGGAAATGGCAGTGTATAATTGAATTTTTAAAGCACATTTGGAGACAGTTTTTAAGTTATTAAATTCAAATTCTATATGCTTGGGCATTTTTCATGGAAAGATTATTCCCAAGGTAGTGATTTCTCAAAATTTGTTTTCTTTTGACAGAAGAGCAAAGTTACAGTGAAGCCAATAACTAAGCGAATGTGTCTGTGCGATGGTTGCAACAAGCCAGCGAGTACAACAAAGGAACGTGGCACTCAGTACTGTAGTAATGAGTGTATTGTCAAACACTGCAGGTATAAATCATCAAATTAATTTGAATAACTTAATACAGTTCAGATCCGCAGTTCAAATATATGACTTTCATATATTCTTAACTATTTAATACAGATTTATAACCAGTTTAGGTTTGAAACCATGAATGTGTATCAATTAACTCTGGAGTGACTTCATAGTCCTTTCTTCTGGCTTCATGAAAGGATAGGTGCTGTGGGGCCAACTACTGTTTGGGCTCAATGCAGAAATTTTTTCCTTGCAAGGCCTCATCCCCCCTCACCCCACCCCCTCCACAAAGTACTGTAAAAGTATAGGGAAAATCATGCAATCAGAAACAAAGAAGACTTGAAATGTTCCTTGAGTTGTAGCTTTCAAGGTTGAAATTTGCATCATTGAGTAACAGGCTTCTTGAACCCTGTCAGCCATATAATTTTTTTCCCATCGATTACTTTTTTTTAATTTCTCCAATTTAAAGAGATAATCTTAGTAAACACTAAAGTTGTGCAATAAAAGTGTAGGTCATCATGCTTGTTTAAGGACTAACGACCACAGCACCTCTTTACCTGGTACATTGACTGAAAAACAATACTGTGTTCATGGAATACAGGTGTGCCTATTCACCTGATTATGTGATTTGTATGTGCAATATTGTGCAATACTGAGGAATCACCTTAACCCATCAAAATAACCTTGACAAATTTGAATAGCCTTTGTTTGAATTCTAACTTTCTTGTTTTGGTTTTAACTAAGAGAAGGTGATTATAACTAAGTGCAGCTTTACCAAGTATGAGAACTGCACTTTCCTGTGACATGGCCAATTTGTCTGCACTCTAATAACGTTTTTCCTATCTCATGTCCCTTTCTTTAGAATGGTTTTCACTTCGTGGGTTGAGCAGAGGAACATGAAGTCAGACTCAAGCTGATACCGCTCTTGTTCATAAAAAGTTGAAAATAGTCAGAGTTTTTGGATTTAAAAAAAATTGTTATCTTTAAAAAGCAGCATAGGCAAACTGAGTTATTTATGAAAGAGTAAGGTTGCTGTTATAATACTGCTACTGATTGATGTGATTGTCAATCCATGCACAAATTAAGGTTTTTTTAGTTCTAATTATTGCTATATTAAGCACCAATTAAAGGTGAAGAAATCTTATTTCATGGTGTTATGTAGATCAATAGGAAAAAGGATTTTGTGTATATTCCTATTGTAAATGTTGTAAGGTTAATTACAGTTTGTAATTCCCTGTTATATTATTTGTTCAATTAATAAAATTAATTGAGAGGGGACGAGTCTGTTTTGTACTTGTTGAATTGGTTTTATTCAATGTTGAAATGAAATCATTGTGTAAATTTAATCATGGGTAGGTAATAGTTGAATTACTTAAATTCTGTGTAAACTTGCTATAAAGTAAAAGTTTGCAGTTTTACTTCTAATTGGTGGTGAAAAGGGAAGGAGCAACAATTGTTTTTCAGACTGGTCAGTTGTGGCTGATCCAGTTTCAAATCTCCAATGAATTTAATTGAGGGATAATCTATTAATCAGGAACAAACAAATGCATTTCACTGTTATCCAACATCCCAAGAGCATTTCTATAAATTGCTAATGTGGAGTTGAAGGTTGGTCAAATTCTTAGCACAATTGAGAATGATTGTCAAACAATGAGGTCACTCTGTAAATCTCAGAATAGATTAACCCTTTAACTCCCATGAGTGACCAAGACAATTTCTCTTCACAATATCAATACAAAATCAAGAAGACAAGTGATGAGAACCAAGGAAGGTATCAATTAGGGGATTATTAGTTGATCCAATACCATATTCTCAGATGTAATATCAGAAGACTTGTAGAGCAGACAGTCAGGAGAATTACCAATGACATCTTGGGAGTGAAAGGGTTAAGTGGTATGATTATATATGTGTACTTTTTGATGATGGTGATGAAAGGTATATGTTTTCTGAAGCATACCTCTCCTTTAACGTGTGTTACCATAACAAAGAGGTTTTATTCAAATCAAAGGAAGTTGGGCTGAGCTTTTTTTGTTTTGTTTTGTTTTTTCTGAAAAAGGAAAAATAATTATGCTAGTGTGTAGAGTGGTACATTGCTAACACCAATCAGACTGCCGCACTAGGGTATGTATCTTGCACCACTCATGTCACAGCATTTGGATATCTTGCACCAATCACACCATTTAGGGTATGTCTTGTGCAGCTTTCTTGCAAATGTCATGGAATCAGGTGGCTGTGGTCAAAGAGTAACATAAACCTTTAATTTTGAGCCAATTTTGATAAGTGTAATGGTTTGTGGCCTTTATGAGAACCTTATTGATTAAGGTTGAGATCTATTGGGATATAAGAGGTTCACATTTAACCGTGTTGTATCATTTTTAAGTTAAAGCGTGTTTTTTCACCCCTTCACTCACAATCCACATGCCAAACAACTTACATTCCATCATACCATGAAACAACATCTAAAGTCCAATCAGAACACACCAAGTCATTGCACTACATGAACATAAGGCAATTTTTCACATGCCTGAATTGTATTCCACCAATCAAATTCCATTTTGCCAAATTAGACTTTGCTCCATCACCTCTCATTTCCTTGTAAACAACCTGCACTTGATTGCGCATTCTAACCACATTGTCCTGGATTTTGACTTTTTCTACAATTGAAATTTGCTTTTAGCTTCCTTGGACTTAGTCCAACTGCATGCTCATTTCTTGTAAACAACCTGCATTTTTTATCACATATTTCACACACAGAGGGCGAAGTCCAGATAGGCAACAACCAATCAAGGAGCACTCTTTGAAATATTATCCTTTTCTCTTGTTCAATGTATCTTTAGTTATTCGAGACTGCAATATATCTTAGGTTAGTGTCTATTGGAGATATAACAGAGTTTCAATTTGCTTTTCGCAGTAAAATTACATAGAATTATATTTTTGATGCAACTAACTGTAGATGATTGATTTTGATTTTCTCTCTGTTAGAGGAATAGCAGTAAGCGTAGTCTCTTTTGCAACCATTATTTTTGCAACACTCTCTCTCAAACAGGGAAGATATGATGTTGTGTGACAAGACCAAACAATGCCTTATAGGGAAACAACAGTAAGTGTGGCACTGATGCATTTTATTTTTGCTTAGAAGTATTTAGACAATAGACCAAAAAACACCTGTGTGAGTTCAGATAAATTTGTAGATTTTTTTTCTTTCTCTTAAGGTGAAGTAATGCAATAATTTCATCTGTTTGAAAGTTACACAAAGTTTTCCATCTCAATTTGCCAACCAAAAAAATTACTCTTGCATGCCTCACACGCCTGTTTTCATAAAGATGCATTAGTTTGCACCTTATTGGTTCCAGTTTGCCACACCACCGACAGATCAAGATAGATCAAGCAGTAATTAACAATATAGTGAGGAAACTATATACTTGTTGACACATTTCAAGTTTAATTTATTTAAGACCAGGGTTGTGTTTGAAATATGTTATATGAAATATGTACAGTAACAAGGTATTTGACAGTACTACTCAGATAACAAAATACATTACAGAATAGTTAAACAGCAGAATACATGGCAATTCTAAGTGAAACAATTGAAGTCTTCAAGTGAAATAAATACATAAATTACAATGCAGTGGTAAACACATCCGAGTGCAGTTGTCCTTGATAGAAAGATGTTGAAATTGATAATTGTGTGTGACATATGATGCTTTGACAGAGAAAAAAATAAAGTAATACTCGGCTTTAAAAGAAAAAACTTACCTCATAATGTACTATATAGATTCCTCACTGTACAATAATATATGCCTTTATTGATATCAGTTGATCAATGTCACTAGTTGCACACTCATGAAACTGTTCAAATGATGAACACATCATGAAATTTTATGATTGATAATATTGGTTGTTGTTCAGTCCTCATGAATTGGTTTAACTCCATCTAGTCCCAATTCTTCAGAGGAGGCCCCTGGGTAACTGTTTACCTCTGCTGCCTGTGGTTTTTCAGAGAAATCTTCATTACTTGCTCCATCTTTAGGAAAGAACTGTCCAATGCCTAAAAATATATCAATACACAGGTTGAAATAAACCTCAAGAGCACTTACACTGCATACTAGAACTAAATACCGATACCTCCACTTTTGCTTCAAAAAATGCTTCATTCATTGTTGTCTGTAATGTGTTATTATTCGAATCCAACTTGCTTATCATGTTAGCCAGTACTTCTACTGAACTCCAACACATGAACTAGTAATCAGAGCACCAGATGTGTGGTGAGGAGGTCCTGACCAGTTGATGTTGCATGGAATTCCTGGCTGCAGTTATCACTTCTAAATCAAATCAAATTCCTGCTAATATTATTTTCTATCATCCCCTATTTGTTTAAGATTGAATCTAAAAGAAGAATTAACCTTACCCAAACCATAGTGAGATAGAATAGATTCTGATAGAGATGGGATAGTAACAAACACAGGATTTTTTTAACAAGGGAGAAGACAAAATAAAAATGCAAGTCTTAGAGGTCAACCAAAAAGCATGGTTGGCAAATAGATAGTTCCCAGAAAATTACAAGGTTTTATTTCATTATACACAACTACCCAAGCAGTGCCATTCAAAACAAGCCAGCTTTTAGAAAGTAAGGAAAAAAAGTAAGGAAAAAAAGAGAGTTAGAAACTGGTATGTATCCTTGAACTTTCTCGGTTGTGGGATGTTATTATCACCTGGTAATTTACCTTTTTGCCATTTGGGGGATGGCCACCACTTGACAGGATTTCCTCCGCTGTTCTTGTTCTTGCCTCCTCCTGAGTTGTTTGGTGAACCAACCGATGATGATGATGATGAAGCACCAAACTGTTTGCGAGGAGCTTTGGCACCAACAGCTGTGTGAGCAAATTACATAATGTGCAACTGCTAGAACAGTGATCTGTTACTAAATTTTCAATAAGTTTTCATACTGATTCCTCCAAAGGCTTCAACTGAACCCTTGATCACATGGTTTGACAAATTAAATAGCAGTTGCAAAGCCAAAATAACTTCTGTGGTTGAGACAAAACGTTTTCCTAGTTAGTTAAGGCCGCTTTTAATGAGTTGCTTAAAGTTCAAAACAAAATTCAACTTATAAATCTTGCGCAAAAAGCGATGAAGAGACCCGAAAATCAGCATAGCATAAAATTAATTGTTGTATGGTACAACAACTCTCACCTCTAGTGAAAGAATATCAATACCAGGGTCTCATTATGTCGTAAACTTCTTATCATAATTAGCACTCCAAAAAACAAAATTAAAGAATGCATCTACAAGATATATAGTGCTACCACCGTTCATCTATGGGATTTTAACCAAAGAAGAAAGAAATTATTCAAGCACGAACAGCCGAGTGAAAGCCACTACACCTTTTTGGTACATTTAGACAGGGCGAAGGTATTTAATCTTGTTGTTTAAATCCCATGATTTCTTCATCAAAACCGAACATAGGGTAGTTATACACAGAATATTCTCCCAATGTACATACCAAGCTTCACTGAGCTAAATGTACACGTGAGCGAAGTACCATAACGATTCAGATCAGTGAAACTTGAAAGCAATAGTCCAATAGTCGATATTTTTAACATTAGCTTATATGACTCCTCTGAGGCGATCTTCTGTTAGTGACCAGATTTACCGGAATATCGGATCAAAAACAAGCCAGTGTTGTATCAATGAAATGAACTCGATCAACCCCTCTTTCTCGATAACGAACTGCTGTTTTTGAAGCTAAAATTACAATAACCGGCGTGTAATCAATCCACTTACCTTTCCTTCCTGCACTGTCTGCTTTCGTTCGTACCATTTTGCAAAGCTGCTAGTAAACCTAACGCGTGGAAGTGGTGAACTCCGACGTCGAAATATCAACTTCGAATATGCGCGCCTTTTTATCTCACTTCACGTCGCATCAGGTCGAGGCCAACTTTTTTTGCAAAGGTTACTACTCTACGGCACTTGGTATCATCATGAATAGTCTGAATTGTCCATTTTCAAAATTCAAGCGAATCCTAAAACACGTCATAACAACTAACTATAAATAAGGTGACCTAAACGCGTCTCTTAATAGGTGAGGTTTATTTGAGTAGTTATCAGAGAACTTTACTGGTCCGCAAATGATCCCGGACCGCAAATGGTCCCCGATGGGGGCCGCAAATGGTCCCGACCAAAAAATAAGGAATAGCATGGACTTACATATTAGAGGAAGGTTAAAAAAATTATATATATATTGAAGCGAAATCAATGCGCGTTGAGAGTACTCGATGTTTGCACATATATCTAATTAAATGTGGTTAGATGTCAGATATCTATAAAGAATATATATATATATATATATATATATATATATATATATATATATATATAATATATATATATATATATATATATATAATATCATGAGAGGAAAAAACGACGCAACTACATTTCCCGACAAGCCTGTTTCGTGAATCGCTTCACTCTTCAGGGGTTTAATCAGTGAGTGAAGCGATTCACGAAACAGGCTTGTCGGGAAATGTAGTGAAGCGATTCACGAATATATATATATATTGTGGGAGGAAAAAAGACAAAATAAACTACCAGTTCATCCCTACAGACCTGTTTCGTGGGAAACTCATCAGGAGAAATCCCCTGATGAGTGGGCAACCACGAAACAGGTCTGAAGGGATGAACTGGTAGTTTATTTGTCTTTTTCCTCCCACAATATATACATCGCTCTACTCCTATGTATTGAGCACTGTCTTACGTAAGTCAAATTACTCTATATATATATATATATATATAATATCGCAATTTTTTTTCCTCTCATAATATTTATTCTGCTCTGCTTCAACGTATTGAGCACTGTTTCACGCGAAAATATATATATGACTAGTTTTTCTATTTTGAGCACTCTGGCACTTCCCACATCATATATATATATATATATATATATATATATATATATATATATATATATATATATATATATATATATATATAGTCACCTTTCTTAGATTGGCCTAAGAAATATGACGAAGGGTTAAGGCAACGGGTTTATCGGGAGTTACAAACGACATCTATGCCGTGAAAGAAATCCATGATCCGACAGTTGGACAGCCGAAGAAACAAATAGTCGAAAAGGTAACTCGCTGCGTTATGGTGAAAAAGTCGAATGTTTCCCAGCTTGTGGATAGTGCGTACTACGAAACGAAAAGTGAAGGCACTAAAAAATTGAGCAAACAAATGTCTCAAATTTACCATGGGTTATCACGTCGAGTCATCCAACACAGTCTAAATTCATTGAAGCAGCAGCAAAAAATTAGGCCCCTCTTTCAAAATAAGGCGCCTCTCCGGCCAATCAGGGCATCAAAAGTACAAGAAAGACATCAAGTGGATCTTGTAAGCATGGTTAGCATGCTAGACGGTGATACTTATAAATACATAATGTCTGTTATTGACATTTTCAGTAGATTTCTTTTCTTACGTCCTCTTCAAACAAAAGAGACTCGTGAAGTGGCGGAACATCTTTAGACAATTACATCGAACACGGCCCTCCAGAAATTTTGCAAGGCGATTAAGGTCCAGAATTTAGGGGAGTAGTAAAGACTGTTTGCGAAACGCTACATGTTCGCACAATTAAAAGCGCCGCATACAGTCTCCAGACCCAAGGAAAAGACGAGCGCTCACACAGAACGTGGAAGGAAAAAATAAAGGTTGATTTAATTAACAACAACAACAATGGCCGCCTCAACTGGGTGGATGAATCACCACAGCTTTCTCCATTTAAAGTGTAATTCGGTAGAAAGCCAAATAGGTATCGCAATAAACTGTTTCTTGTGGGAAAGAAGGAATGTGAAGTTCCAGATGAAAACAGCAACGGTATCGAAATAGATGAATGCAAGACGGAAGAGCTAACAGAGTTAGTAACAGAACGCAATTCTATCACGCAGAAAGCTCTGGATACGTCTAATAAGGCTTCGCAGAATATGGTAAAGCGGGAGTTATGGCGAAATCCACCCTCACTCTATTACGAGGGAGAAACCGTTTTGATTCGAGTCCCTGTCTCAAAGAAATTAGTTAAGGGAAAGAAAAACTCGCTAAAGAACACCTGTGAAGGGGTGATCCTTGAGGCTAATCATTCCATGCACAAGTACTCTATCAGCTACAATGATCCCGTGACACTTGAGAGCGAAACGAGGTGGTTTAAAGTAGATGATGTTACCTCAGTAACAAAAGAAGAATAAAATGAGCGGCAGCAAAAGGCAAAGAGTGACAGTGGGAGACGAAATGATACTTGCACAGGCCATGAAGCCGATTCCCCAGGCCAACCAGCGAAGCGAGCAAGAACAGACAACGCCAGTTTGTCAGAGGCCAGCATCGATCAGCTATTCTCCTTAGAAAAGCATAATGGTGACACTGTAACTAGCTATTGCCGAGGAATTAAGGCAAAAGTATGGCCATGGAAAAATCCCAGAATAAATTTTTCCAAAATGTGGACGAAAATTCCTGTGCTACTCACAAAGTGTTTTTGAGAGCGGTGGAGCGTTGCAGTACTACTCAGATGACAGCGTCTTTTGTAATAGTTGCTTAATCAGTGGATGAATTTTGGTTTGGAATTAAGTGCAAAAAAAACAAGCAATGCCGCATTTTGGGTGAAAACATATTGGTCTAAAGCACTACGTTGTTGTTGTTGTTTTTACTGACACTGTTGCTGCTGTTGCCAGCCGGGTGACGTCAATGGACTGATACAATTGATATAAAGATAGAACGGTATACCACGCCGGCATATCAATGTGTATCTAGTGAAGGAAGAATATGTAGTGTTTATTGTGTTGTAGAAAAGAATCTAGGTCATAATTTTAAGATATATAGTAAAGACTAAGTCCGTTTATGAAGGTGCCATTCATAGCATCGTAGTATGAAAAAGGTAACAAAAAGAAGCCAGTTGTAAGCCATAATTTAAGATGGTTTTAATAAATATAATTGCTATTCATCCCAATTCCCTACCCTCACCATTCCTACATCCATGCCATTCCTTATTTTTTAGTCGAGACCGTTTGCGGTCGCCATCAGGGATCATTTCCGGTCCGGGATCATTTCCGGTCCGGGATCATTTGCGATCCGAGATCATTTGCGGTCGTGGGATCATTTGCGGACCCGTACAGAATTCTTAGCTGTAGGGAAACATAGACATGCAACACGTACACATCTTTTTTCATGAGAGTGGGAACATTTCTGATAAATCAGTTGTATTGTATGTCATTTGGAATCTTTATCAAGAACTCGAATTTGTCTTTTTATTTGCTTGAAATGATACAACAACATATTTGTAGAATTATATGACCCGTTATATAACCTATCTAACCACAACTCCCCCTCTGGCCCAGCGGCAGACTTGTAACTGGTAACTTACCAGAGAAGTGATAAGGTCATATTAGATGTATCTCTGATCCAATTAAAATTTATGTCTCAAATAAATCATGAAAAATTGAATTCTCAGTGCACAAGACAAACTCACCCCACATTCTCAAAGCTAAAACATATTAAAAGTTTGTAAACAGAACAAGGACCAATGTGAAATATGGTAAATTGGTAAAACATGTTACAAGTTTCCCATGCTTATTGGGAGTTACTATGTATATTATTTTAGTTCTAAGTTATTCAATGTAATGTTTACCTCTATTCTGGTTGGCTGTTGTAGTGAGGACTAGTGACTCTTGGTTTTTGGTTCATGACAATGTCTTAGCAAAATCACTCCCTTTCTTGTAACCAATGAAGTTTTTTGACACACCATAAATACTCAAGCTAACAATAAAAACAATGGCAACGTTTTGCATCAAAAATGATAAGTTGATATTTTTACAGCAACAGAGAGCAAACATGGATAAATTATAAGGGTTACTTGATTTACACTGAAGAAATGTAAAATGGTTTCCGTGTTTACATAGCCTGATGTAAACATGCGGGAGGTTGGGAGAACACGAGATAAGCGTAGGAAACCACGACGCGAAGCAGTATGGTATGAGAGGAGAGGTATGTATGACTTCACCAGTCAGTTATCATTTCTGTTTCTTTAAATATCATCTTACATGCTACTTTTCCTTTATTCACTATCATTTAACACACACACGAGAAGAAGTGAGGTGAGGAGCAAGGTTTTTTTAGACATGACTACTGAAGTGCACATGAGCAATTTGTGAAGTCCATGTCAAGCACTTTTTTAAGACAATTTTTAAATTATTGGAGAAAAATACTTGGGGTTCTGTTCCTGTTTGTTAGTCCAGCCAAGCTTGTGTGGTCATTGGCCCCTATAATAGCCGCTGTTACGGTATAATATTAGCGACAGAAAAACGCAACAATTCCACAAACTCAACTACTTTATTAAGCAGCAAGTAATGTTCTTAACAAGGAGCGAATCCTTAAAGCAGTACAATACTTATCATTAATAAACTTAAATTAATCTTTCGCAGTAGCTGTCTCTCAGTATAGCTTTCAATACAGTTGTCACTCCGACAACAAAAGCTACCACAGTTACATACGCGAGTCTTTATACATATATTTGCAAAGTATTCTGGAACATTCCAAAAGCTTACATAAGAACTATTTTAGTAGTATTACTTAATAAGTGTGTTACCTGATGGAATGTCTATGGTATGCCAATCAGCATGACTCAGCAGCCTGGAAATTTCTAGCAGTTATGGCTTAAGAGTACAGGCAGTTAGCACTCACTTGTGTAACTTGTAAGATCTAAATTCTTCTGCCACTGAAGATGAGAGGGGAATATTGAGGTGCGATACAGAAAGGTAAAAAGGTTGGAAAGTAAATATCTCATAAGGTTAACTTATAGGTTTTGATTTTCCTCAAACTGCAAAATTCTTGCAAAATAAAATGTTATAAAAGTCCTACTCCTTCCAAAATAAGAAAAACTCTGTATGGAAGTCAACTGTCAACTTGTATTCTTCACATAGGGACATACTTATCATATCCATCCATGAGCTACTTCCCAACGTGGCAAGCAAAAATTTTGAACAAAAACTGCCAAAAAATTATTATTGAACCCCAAATAAGTGTTTTTCTGTTTGTCTCTTATTCTTGAGGTACTTTTAAGCAGTTTTGACTTCTCTTAGGCATGAGTAAGAAATAGAACTGAAGCTCTAAAATTGAAAAAGCTGATAAGAAACACGTTTTAGTCTAGGATATATTTGGTCCCCCAAACATTAATTAATAATAATCAGACATTTTTAATAATTTCAACAACCAACTCAAAGGCTTTTATTTTCAAGTATTCAAAAGAATTAAACAGTAAATGCACGACCCCATAAGCGGCAACGCTTTAATCACCGTCGTGTTGAAATAAAAGTTGTTGTTGTTGTTGTTGTTATTGTGAAAAAATAGACAGAGAATTAAAAAAAAAAACAGTGATCCAGACTTTGTTTACAAGCTATGATCTGAACATTTAGAATGAAGAGTTCGTGATCCAAGCTAAAGTTAGAAACTAATACGCGTTACACTTAATTTCTTAAAACCACAAATTTTTTACACCTCATTCGCAATCTAAGTCCATTCTGTGTTCAAATCTGTCAATCCAATCTAAGAACCAAATGAATTGCTGATCGACTAACTTGTTCATCTCTGTCTAAATACTATGGAGCTGTAAGACTCATTCCATTCTGAGAGTGGTCAATGGATAGAATGAATGGACAGGCATCTCGGGCCCATTCTTCAGGACTCCTATACATTGCTGCACCTTGTTTTCCAAAGGTTGTCTCCAACATAGGTGTGTTGATGACTCCTGGGTTCAACGGAACACATGTGAGCGGTATAGGTAACTCAAGCGCCATTGCTTTAGAAAGCCCCTCAATGGCCCACTTGGAAGCACAATATGGAGCTTTATGCGCCGCCACACTTCTACCCCAGCCAGAACTAAAATTAACGACCACACCCTTTCCCGCTTTTATCATTTCGGGCACAAAATGGCGAATGACATTCGTGGTGCCCTTAATGTTGACATCGATGACACTGTTGAACTCTTCTCCAGAAATCTGCCACAAACACGCATTACTGTTGATTATAGATGCATTATTAAGGAGGAAAGTCGGCGCTCCAAAGCTAGAAATAACATCTTGTGACCAACGTTTCACGTCTGCCTCGTTGAGAATGTCAACAACAGAGAACTGTTTTGGTTTGCCTCCTTTACAAAACTCTTCGTTCAGCTGATTAATCTTTTGAGCTGACCGTGCACACCCTAACACCAAATGGCCTTTGGATATGTACCAGTTCACCATGGCAAGGCCTAAGCCTGTGGATACCCCTGTTATAGCTAGCACTTCTCGATTACCAACGGCTGCCATGATGGATCAGAAAGAACTGTCAAGAAACTGGAATCTAGACCGTTCTGGTTGTCATGGCAACTTCTAATAAAGTAATCGAGGGAATGCTGATGTTGTAGGGTACCTTAGAGGTGGTTAGAAAGATGCAAGAGGAGATAAAAAAAGCTAAAGCCTTCCTTCTGAAAACAAGTTCAACATCATCTAAAAATGTGTAAGTATCTGCTTGCCCCTTAACTGTGATGGCGATCATGAAAACAAGCTTACAAACTCTCGGGCTTCTTTTTTTGTTCGCTAGCTAGTGATGCCTTCAAAAGTAGGGAAGAATAAAGTCTCGCACATAATAGACAAGTCGAGAATTTCTCCTTTGATAGGTGGCAAACAATCCCATACATTGTATTTGTGGTATAATTATATTGTATTTGTAGAATGACAAATGAACTCTCGCAAATAGGCTGGTTATAGACGTGAAATGTGCTTACTGAATTCATATCCCATTCCGGCAGTTAGATAACGGCGTAATATGTAACGAACACAGTCCATAGACTGTAAGATTTTACGCCACTATCTGATTTTAAGCTGTTAACTAACGGCGTAAAATCTTACAGTATAATTTCCTCCAGTCGGTGATGTATATATGTAGGATTTTACGCCAGTAACTAACGGCATAATTTCTTCCAATCGTTGATATATATAATGTAAATTTTACGCCAGTGATATAATTTAATTATATTTTAATTTATTATAATTAATCTACCGATTGAGTTAGTGGCGTAAAATCTTACGGTATATAGACTGTGTTAGTCATATATTACGCCATTATGTATATTCCCATCTCATTTGAAAGAAATATTGTACTAATCTTTAGCCATTCGTTGATTTTTCTCTTTTGTATGAGTTCAGATATGACCATTTAAGTGATGTGTTGAGCAAAATTTTAGAAGAAAGGCCAAATCACTGTGTTGGTAAGTAATCATGGTATTTTTTTATTTTAAGCTTTTTTTCTTGTGCCTTATTTCACTTATCTCCTAGTGAAAATGCCTTGAATTGATCACTCTCCTCCCGAGACATCTACATTTCTTGAGATATGTTTTAGTGTATGTTTACAGAGTAAGATATAAATTACAGTGGAATATATATATATATATGTTTTTTTAGTATAACTAATGTGTGTCTATAGTATGTCACTATCATGGTGTAAGGAAACATTTTGTTAACCCTCTGATTAGTCCTGGCGTGGGGGTTATCAATTTACAGAGCCAACATTTACTTGGTTGCTAACTGGAGATGGAGGCTTATTAGAGAGGAGGGGCTCATTGAAAATTTACTGAACACCAAAATGTCAAAGATTATTTTTCTTGAGGTTGGTTGGGCCAGGAAAAGGGGGAGGAGGGGTGTTCCTATCACACACCCTCACTAAGAAGAAAAAAGGGATACCTATTTTGTTTAAAATGTCAGTTTTTGGCAAAAGGTTGTGATAGTATTGAAATTGAGGAAAAGTTTTGAATTAAAATTTGGAACTGTTGAACAAAATGAGTTTTTGTATTTAATTGTTTTAAAATTTTCAATGCTATAACGAATCAACTGTATTTCAATATTCTGTTGGGATTATTAAGCCAGAGGAGGAATTTTTTTTTTCTCTCAATAGTCCTCTAACTAGGAGATGAGGCAGGGTAAGGGATTTGACAGGCATAGGTGCTAATGTGATCAGAAGTTATGTTATTCAGCTATTTTGTTCTTACTTGTTCGAGTGCTCCTTATTGCAATGATACCATTCCAGATGTATTTGAAGACATCAGTAAAAATGTAAAAAAAGGAAAGACTGAGGAGTCTGAGGTAGGATTTGCCTTATAATAGAACTTGCTATTTTCTTATGGGGAAACAAGGGTATCTTACCATCTTGGAAACTGTAGTATTTTCAATTGTTTCAATACAGCTTTTATTTGCTTTAAGAAGGTGATGTTATTTCAACTTTTTTATTTATATTTTAAGTCTAAATTGTTAAGAGATTTCTTGTAGCTAGAGTGTGGTGTGTTTCAGGGACAGGAGTGAATTGGTGTGTGGAAACCAATCTGGATATTTTTTCAGAATAATCAATTGATCCAACTTTTATGATTTCTGTGGAACTACCATTTCTCTTTCTCTTTAAAGATTTCTGCATGTTTGGTAGTTGAAATTTAGAGCACTCAATATTTTGTTTCCTTTAACACTATTTCATTTTGCTTAAGTATTCCATTCTTCTCCTGTTTTATTTCAGCATTTTAGCATAATGATTGTAAATGCATGAATTGTTAATTTGCTATCTGCAGAGTCTAGTCAAATCAGTGGAGGTTTACAAATTTTCTGTCAGGGGCAAATTCTGAAGACTAGATACTATGCTATAGTCTTGTAGTTAAATGATTCAAATAAAACGAGACTGAATTTTTCCCAATTATTTTCAGGAACTAGAAGATGACAAGGAAAGCAAAGAGACTGCTGAAGTACACCAGAAACTGTTTGAGGTTAGCTTGTCAAATGATAATATGGATCACATTTTGAGTAACAATTATGATCTTGTAGCTGGTATAATGTTAACTTAGTGAGACTGACTGATATCATTAAAGAGTGATTTGTTAAGGGGGATCTAGGACTTAGTGAAAGGGGGTTCAGATAAATGTCTACTCAAAGGTGGACAATCTTGAGAGGGTCAGGGGGCATACCCCTGCCAAGAATGTTGAAATAAAGGTTTTAGAAAAAGTTGTTTCCAGTGTTCTAAGGGATAATTATGGAAAAAAAAAATAGATTTACATATTTTTAGATGTTTTCACCCCTCTCTTTCCTTTTCAAATCATCTTTGAAATGCTTTTATGTTCAATAATGTCAAGTATCAAGAATTTATGCCAACTGATTTGGTATTTTTCATGCAAATGGCACAATCCCTCAAGGATGGTGGATTGTCTGTTTTTAACTAAGTTACAAGTCTGTTAACGGTGTATTTTGTTGCATTTGTATAAATAGAAAGATGGTGATGGAGAAGGTGGTGAACCTGAGACAGAAGAAGATATTGAAACCCCTCTCCCTGATCTCATGAATTTAAATTTTTACTTTGAACAAGCTGGAATAGGATTGAGCCGTGAAGAAATGTTTAGAGTATTTCTCGCATTAAAGCAGCTGGTGGATACTAAACCATTACAAATGGTTCGTTTTTGGGGTAAGAAAGATAATTAAAAATCACTGTAATTTGTTTTTGTTTGATTTAAGTTAAATGTTTTGACCCAAGAATAAGCACCTCCAAGTCCTTTTAGTATAATTTGTGTGGCCTGCATAGATTTTCAATCAGCCAGCATGAAATTCAAGAACCAGAGTAAAAACATAATATAAAGATTTAGCCAAGCCTAAAAGTGGAGCTCGCATTTTTTTTTTTCCTACACGTCTCAAGGGCACAACACCTTGCCCCTGCCAGGACTAGAACCTGGGTCATCCAACTCGGAGCCCAGTGCACTGACCACTGGACTACTGGACAAAGCCATGGCGTTTGCGTGCCCATGGTACAGTTGACCACGCATGTTAAAAGTAGCACCTTGTACAGTCATACGGTTGTATGGTCGTACATCCAAATTTTTTCAGCTTGATGGGTTACTACTATTTTGTATAATTATGGGGCTATGCTCTGCAAGCTCTGCTATAAATTGTTTACATGTAGCTATTTGGCGACTGGTATGAGTAATGAAGAAAGCAAGACCTTTTGAACTGAATTGATTAATTGTCAACTCAAGATTAAAAATTTGCTGATCAGAACCAGCTCATGATATTTTAAAGTAGCTCTGGAGTCTTTGAGAATTGTTTAAATTGATTGAATCATATGAAGAAAATGGTGGAAAGGGTCAAATTAAGCTTGCATGTGTTATTAAGAATATCATTATAATATTATTACATGTAAAATGTCGGAGGGTTTTGTTGAAAGCAAGAAAGTGGTCAAAACACAAGACGGGGTGGATAGAGGAGAGGAAACCTCCACACTTGGACCCTGTGAATCTGACCACTTCACCTGATCTTTCCAGTTTGAATTTATGTTAACACTGCAGTTGATTGGTTACCCAAAATCATTTTGAGATCAGTATATCTCCAGACTTCTCCATTTTCACCAGCTAATGAAAGGTTTTTGAGGCAACATGGCTTACAAGCCAGATTTCAAATTCTGATAAAAAGGCTAACATCACATTTCATTCGCATGCATAGTGGTTAACTAATTTGATAGAAATATTTAATATGATAGCTATATAATTATTTGGTAACAACATTCGGGTCTCCATGCCTCATTTGGATGCCCCTGAATGCCATGCATTAAGGAGGGCATAGTTACTAAAACAAGGAATGATCTAAAATGACCTTGAGTGATGTGAACAATCATGGACTGGATCACAGATCGGATCACAGACCAGATCATGGATTGGATCATGGATCATATTAGATCAAGTTAAATAAAATAAAAAATTTTGCGTGACAATAAAAAAATAAAGTCTGCATTACATATTATTGAGCTCAAGCCCCACTGGAAGGTTTTTTTTTGCCAAAAACCTTAGGGGTCAGAACACAATTCGAAAAAAAATAGGGTTTTGAAAAATACAACAATCAAATCATTACAAAATAATAGAGAGTTCAAAAGAAGGGGGGTGTGAAAAAATTAAAATATTCTCAATGAAAATTAGAGATATCTCGTAACAAGCCCAAATAGAAGGCAGGCCCATTTGAAAGTTTTTTTGCCCCAGAACTCCATGTAGTCACTTTCACAGCTGTGTCGAGGAGTTGTGTTGTGCCGCCATGGATGAAGGCAAGTGAGAGGTACAAATCATTCTTCAATAAGGAGGGGGGCATTGGGATTTTTTGGCTATTTGATATTGGTTTTTCGGTTTTGTGGTTTTGCTGTTCCTTTTGCTTTGTGGATTTTATGTGGTTTAGCATTAGTTTTCAGTTTTCATCAAAAATACAAACAGGTTTTCAAAAGTTTTTCTGGTTTGTCTTTAATCTGAGTGGCAATGAAGTGCCTCCACTGATCTCAAACAGCCGCGAAATGCATATAATTCATGTGAACACATAAAGATCATATTATCTGAAATCACAATTCACAAGTTTTTAAAAAAAAATCATGATTCACATTCAAAGCATATGAGACCCTCATTAAGTGTAGGTTGGGAGGTAGTGAAAGAAATTTGAAAATGTTATGTACTTGTACACTTTATATGCAGCTGTTTGTGTGAATGGGAAAGAGAAGGCAAGGTCAAATTCTCAACTGTGACGTCCAATGAATAACATGCATTTCAATTCCACAGGTAAAGTGCTTGGTATTGAGTCAAATTATTATGTGGCAGAGGTAGAATACAGGGAAGGAGAAGAAGAGGAGGATGACGAAGAAGAAGAAGTGAGGAATTAAAAATCAGCCATTACAGTTTATTTTACCTCCCAGTTTCTTATAATGAATGGGGTGATTGATTGGTAAATTTTGGTAGTCATTAACTCTACTTCACAGCCAGCCAAAAATTCAACATTGTTTTTGTCACAGTATGTCTCACTAGGTATCACCAATTGTTGTAACTTTGGTTAGTGGATGAATTTTTAGATCCTCTCTTTCCTTTTAAAATCATTTGAAACTTGCTTAATTTGACTTCACAACAATTTGCAATAAATTTAATATATTAAAGTTCAGATGGCAAACAGGTGAACAATCAGAAGTAAGCCACCATCATCATGATTTAAAGGAGCATGGGCAGAGTTGATATGCCAGGCTTCCAAACAAAGGCACTGGTTGTAAGGCAGATTAGTGGTGATAATTTTAGACTTATCTCACCCAGTTGTATGGTATATAGTTAGGCATGTGTGCTCCAATAAAGAATAGCCTCAATGTTAAAGTTGTTCAAAAATCTTTTGACTTTGGGGCATATTTTTGCCAAACCTAAGGATCCTATTACGAAAGAACAATGAGCTGATGCTATTCATTGTATTCCTTGCAATGAATGTGATAAAGAGTATATCGCACAGACCAAATGTCAGTTTGGTACATGTTTGAAAGAACATCAAAAAGCAGTCTTCTTTTGTGAAAAAGATAATTCAGCTTTATCAGAGAACACATGCCTAATTAACCAACCATACAATTTGGTGGGATAGGTCTAAAATAAATTTTATCTCTACTTTTGGGAAGTAGATTTGTAATCTTAATTGAAGCTGTGCATTGTGACTAGAAATTGCTTAAATTTCAAAGGAGAAATGTAATCGTTTGTGGTCATTATTTGGGTGTGGATCATGACATTTCCACAGCATACTGCTAGTCTTCTTCCAAGCCTGTCAAAGACAATGTAGAAAATTAATGAAAAAATATCTTACCAGCCTTGTTTTCTCAGTAAGTTATGGATCCTGCCTTTTTCCTCTCTGATGCATGGCCAAACTTAATGGTTAACCATTTCACTCACAATATCTCTTTAGTAAATCTCCTTACTGTCTGTCTCCTTATTGTCTGCCAAACAATTCTTATGATGCAAGTTCTGAGAATTTGGTAATGGATCAACTACAAATTCCATAATTGATAATTTTCTTTCCTCTCAGTATTTGTCTGCGTCACATGGTATCAATATTATAAGGAGAAATTCTGTTCAGGTCAGCTATGGGAGTTAAATGTTTATGAGTCATTTATTCCAGTAAAGATGGATATATTTTTTTCTTTGTAGCAGGGTGAGGGTGAAGGAGATGAACAGGCAAAGGAGGAGGATAAAGGTGAAGAAGGTATGTGTGGTTTGCAAGACTCAAAGCTTTTAATACCTTCCAAAATGCTATTAAAAACCACATTGTGCATCAGCAGTATGTTTTTAGAATACTGCAGTACCACAATTTCAGAATCCTGATACCCTGATACTCTGATATCCTGATACCCTGAAAAAACTTGAACAATACTGTGAACCCTTAAGTCCCTCTCTATATTCATTAAACAGTCAGTATGAAAAGTTGACATGAAAAAGGTAACTATGTGAATAGGTAGGTGAGAGAAAGTTAAGGGTAATTTTTTCCACATTTTTACTCTTTAAAAAACCAGACCAGTAGGTTTTCTTAGATTGATTTTTGGCCTGGCTCTTGCAATCTCTGTTGTAATGATTGAGTGTTATAAATGCAGTTCATTTTAATACAGATCCAATTAGGTTTTTAACTGTATTTTTTAATTATATGCCATAGATGATGAAGGTGGTGAAGAAGATGATACACCCAAACCAGAGTGGAAACCGCCCCCAGTTATACCTAAAGAGGAAAACAGAACTGGCACTAACAAGAGAACTTTCTTTGTTACAACTGATCGTACGTATTCTATTGCTTACTTCTTCAATGTTTGACAAACTTGTGTCACTTTAACAGCTGTCATCACCATCTAATTTAGCTCATGTATGGTCAACTTCTGAGTCAGAAGATCCATTCTGGTAGAGCTCAATATTCCACTTTTAGTATTGCATAGTGACAAGGACATTTGCTTCTCCACACTGGATGGAATGCCAGTCCATCACAGGGTTACCTTTAAAATTTTATCAGTCTTCTTTACAGTCTGCTTTTTCACTCCTTGGTAAGAATAGGGTAGTTAGGCTAGAGGTTACTTATGTGTTGTAAACACAATGACCTGGTCAAAGCTACAACTAATGAACTTTTTATCCAGAGTCCAGCACACTTTGCCTGGTCATCAGTCCACCACATATATGTGTAGGTTGTCAGCTGTTGATACCAACAACAGGATACCCAATGGTGATAAAGTTCAAATTGTATTCCTGTTTCTGATAAATTCTGTAAATTTTGTGATATTGTGTTGTTCTGTTAGTGATTTTTATATGACAACATTGTCCTATAGCTATGTACATGGAACATATTCACTGTCTCATAGATCCAATTTGTTTAATTTCTCAGCTGGTAAACCTTGGATAAAACTTCCAGCTGTGACCCCTGCACAAATAGTAGCTGCAAGATGTATTAAAAAATTCTTTACAGGAAGACTGGATGCTCTGGTAACATCACAACAATCTTTATTATCATATTTATTGAAAAAAACAAATAGTTGTAAAAAGTGATCCTATTATCTATTGTTTTCGGTTGAACCTCTTTTACTGTGTTTGGATGTGAGCCAAGGAAATTCAAGGAGGCCTAAATCAAGTCAAGAGTGTTGGTAAACTTGTCCAAACTGTTCAGCTAAAAATCATACCTACAATGGAAACTTAATAGGGTAAAAGAAAAGCCAAATAGGAGACATAAGTAGATTGTTTTCAACTGGAAAGTTAAGCTGGAAGTCTCACCTTTGATTTACTCTGGTCAGTTTTTTGGACACATGAACTAACATGTCAATCTTGAAAAGTTTCCTTTTTTTTTAGTTGTTCAGGGTTTGGAAAAGCTTAAAAATTTAAATTTAAAGGCTGTACATCCTGGCTTTCCTCCAGCCATATACCTCTGTTGTTCCATAAACTGCATATATTTTTCTACAAACTATCACGGTAATTCACGGGAGAATCTGATAAAGAACCAAAAATTTATTCTTTAGTTATCATTTCGATCTTATTTCTTTTTTTACCTTTTCAGATTGTGAGTTATCCACCTTTCCCAGGAAATGAAATGAATTATCTGAGAGCACAGATTGCTCGCATTTCAGCTGGAACACAAGTTAGCCCTGCAGGGTACTACATGTTTGAAGAAGAGGAGGAGGAGGAAGATGAAGGAGAAGGTATCAGTCTTCAACCCGTAAGCCATTACTGGGCCATGTAATATCCTACTTACATTGCGCATTACACGAAGTATATTATATAAGTATATATGCAATCAAAGCACGGTGATCCCAAACAAAACTGTTTTAAAAATATATACTTAGTGAGGTTGAGAGTAAATTTTATTGACTTGGGTGATAAATTAATTGATATTGGCCTTTGCATCAAACTTTCTATTAAGTTCTTTTTTGTGCATAACTGAATCTTAATGACAAGGTAATTATGTTTTTATCAACTGAGTTGATAATGTAAATTGGCCACCGTAAAGAGTTTCAAAGCTGACGTTGTTGGCGCCATTCACTCTGACGAAGGGCTAACGCGCTAATTTACATTATCAACTCAATTGATAAAACCATAATTACCTTTTTATAATCCCCTACCGACGCAGCTCCACAGTTTCTTTAGAGACTTGCCCTCTGAATCTGAATGATTTTGCATGGGAACCCAGAACTCCTGTTTCTACCGATAAGGTTGCAGTTTAAGTAATGATATAAACTGAAAATAACCATACTTAGTTCTGTACTAGCGTCAAAGTTGACAGAAAATCCGTTTTCCTCTCATCCTTTCCACAGTGCGTGACTCTTACATGTTGAATGTTGACTTTGAGGGTATAAGTGTGAGAGAACTTGCAGATCCATCACTTCATAACTGGGTGCATCATGTACAGCATATATTACCACAGGTGTGTGGGGTAACTGACTGACTTGAATTCTTTTTTCGCATCAATATGGCATTTGAAAGGTGCACAAAATTATGTAACACTTCTTTGTCACATAATGAGAAGATTGCACCGTCGATAAATTTTTTTAAAGAAACTGACGCGCCGAAGTAATTTTGCTGAGTCTTTTTATAAAAAAATAAACAGTGAACCATACACACATGGCGTACAGAAGTTACATCGTAAAAGAGTCGAATAATTCGACTTAATTCAGCGTAATTTTCTCCGTGTTTTGGTATCGTAATGACTTTACTGTTGAAACTACCTACGGATCTTAAGAAGTAACAGGCCTTTAATGACTGAAGAAATCCTTCTCGTTTTTTCTTCGTTAGGGTCGCTGTGTTTGGCACAATCCTGTTGAAAAACCTGAAGATGATTTTGAAGAGGAAGAAGAGGAAGATGAAAAGGAAGACATAGAGGAACCAAAACCAGAATCAGGGCCGCAGTTATTGACCTCCATAGCAGAGGATGATGGTATGTAATGATTTATGTTATTGTTATTAAGTGACAATATTATTTCTACCCCTTGAAAATCAAATTTATTTCTTTGTTTCTTCGTTAATATTCACCCCAAAACAAACCCGCTTGTAATCGACCCCTTGATATCCCCCTGTAACCTATTGCGTGCAAAACGTACTTCAACCATCTGTCCTTAACGTATATTGAACAAGTTCCTTATGAATGATTTGGAAATGCCACTGACAATTGTGAACTTATTTGAGGTTACGTAATTGTTCACCATGTAAGGTCTTTTAGAAACAGCTCTATAATGGATACCTGGTCCAGGAACCAGTTGTTCAAAGGGCGATAACGCTATCCAACAGATAAATCGCCATAGAGAGGATAAGTACTGTACTACCCATCGGATAGAGATTTATCCATCGCATGGCGTCCCGAATTCTGGACTTGTTGGGTGGTAGATTCTAAATGAGGTATTTTTAGAAAATACCCTTCCCTCCCCTTCCCAAGCCGTGCGATTTTGTATTTTCTCTCTCTCGCTGACCTCGCTATCACGGAACACAAGAGATACCATGCTGAGCCGCTCAATACCTGGGACCGAACAACACCCAGGGAAAGCTTATCGGACCCAGGGAATGACATGGTATGGCTCAGTAGGCACGTTGTAAGGCCTATTGCGTATGTCTTTAATTGTTCTACTGGTCACAGCTGTTAATGGGATGCCGGCGTGGACTCCTAACATGTCGTCAGAGTTACTACCTCAGTATGGCCTCGCTATCATGCGCTCAAACAGGTGGCCTGGTGCAGTGGCTTTTGCCAAAGACAGGTACGGAACACGTGAAAGTAAAAATGACATGCATTTGGTCTGTAAACTCTCCCTTCCTAATAATTATCTATGGTTTGACCTTCTCCTATACAGCTTCTTGGTATTATAAACCGAACTCAGAATTCAACAAAATCTTTCGCACCTCTCAAGTCCAATGTAGGCGACTCTCTGTAGTTCTACTGAACTACTATTTATTAACACTTGAACATAAGCTTATAAAGTTTGTAACCTCTTGCACCTTAGTAAATGTTAAATAAGGAAATTCTCTCGCTTACATTTTTCTGTGTCCATCTACTTGCGAAAGAAAAAGCTCGAATAAACAGGCATTCTCTGATATCCAGCATGTCCACAAACGCGTGTTCTAAGTCACAGGGCAATGGAGAGGAAAAGAGCTTACTTTCTTTTTCTTTTTTTTTTTGTGTCTTTTCCAAAGGAAATTCGAAAATTTATATGTTGGATGGGGACACAAATTTGATGCGGACAACTACACCCCGCCCCCACCCCCTGCTGCCATGGAGGAGTACCCTGTGGTACCGGAAGTAACAGAGGTGGATGACCCAACAGTAGAGGAGGAGAGAGCACTGAAGAAGGCGCAGGAGGAGGCCATGGAGGCTGCAGAGGATATGGATGATGTAGATGATGACGAGGATGACGACGATTAGGAAACTTTACTCAAATATCACGATTACTATTTATCTTTTAGACAAGACTTGATATTAACCAAGAATTGCCAACCTACCAGATTTTTGAAAATACAATTGACGATTTATGATGTATATAGTTTGATCTCTCCTTGAAGAATAAAGGGTTGTTTCCTGTTTTTACTTGTAGCCCTTATTTGTGAATTTCAGCTCCATTCGGAAAAATTAGCTGACGTGTAGAATATGGTGCATATGCTTTAGACTGTTATGTAAGATTAGGTTATGGTTTTTTCAAATCGATAATTATGTACCTTATGCGAACGGTGAAACTAAAAACGCATCAAGAAAATCACGATATTGAAACTCTGGGCGAAACGATTCGTGTATTAGAAACGAGATTATGTTGGAGTGCTGGTGATATCAACAGGCCTGCTCAGCCTGTTTCCACCATACTTGTCTAGGTCAATGATCCTCCATGTAAGGACCTTGCAGCGGGAACACTTTATCTTGTCACTTACTCATCTATTATCAGGTTTGTCGCTAACTAAACGATGTTAAATAGCTTTGGTGATCGATTTGTGGGGAACAAATTGAAGGTTAGGAATTGCCGCCAATTCTCTCTTGAAGATCCTTACACTTCAGTCAAGATTCTTTCATAATTTTTTCAATATCATTCCAGTGCTTAAACGAGAAATTTTAATGCATTGTGAAACAAACGAGAACTTTATTTCACAGGGAGGAATAAACCAAACGCTTTTTGCCGCCAATGCTCTCTTGAAGATCCTTACACTTTAGTCAAGATTCTTTCATCTTTTTTTTCAAAATCTGCAAAATCATTCCAGTGCTCAAGCGAGAAATTTTAATGCATTGTGAAACAAACGAGAACTTTGTTTCACAGCGAGGAATAAACCAAACGTTTTTTCTTTAACGAATGTTGTTTCTTTAACGCAGGGTGAGATGCAAAATTAGATAGCTCCATTTCTCGCGTTCTTAAAGATCGTGTTGGGAAAGACTTTCTCTGTTCGATGCAATTGGTCTGACTATGTAAAATCTGCACTTAGGTTGGCCTAAGGTGAAACATACATACCACGCTGTCAATTAACAATTGGTTCATACGTCAGCGTGCGCTCATCGAGATATGAAGCACGCGGGAAGTTTGGAGAGCACGAAAGATACGTAAGAGTTGCTCGAGGCGTAGTCGAGAGCAACTCTAGCTTCTTGAGTGCTCTCCAAACTTCCCAAGTACTTCATATCTCGATGAACGCACAGCTGACGTATGAACCAATTGTTTCATAACATTTTCAACCCGATGAAAAATTTTTTTTCTCGAGGGATTTGTTTGCTTATGTCATGAGCGTGCACAATAGGAATATGAAGCACGCTCGCGCAATTGAATTTGATTAGACAAATTTACTAGCTATGTTATAACAGTAGTAATCAAGTAGGATCATCGTCAAGTTCGTAGGGCTCGTTTGTTAGGCACTAAAATTACTTTTATTAAAGTGTTCTTTCCCGTAGTTTCCACTCAGGGAAAACAGACGATTTAGAGAGTCAGTCAGTTTCTGGACCCACGTCACCCTGCACTAGTTTTACTGTTCAAGCGTAACGCGAGCGCTAAAAAAACGATAGTCTCTATTTTGCAAAGCCTCTTACACATGTAAGAACTCCCCCCCCCTCCCCGTTGACGCTAAGTAATGAGTTTTGATAAGTTTTTATTGAACAGTTTTCTGCGTCATAAATAGATACCATATGTGGGTACTTTGTAAAGCTCTTGCACCAACTAACCTTTTTTCCCTTCTTTTTTTAAAGATTTTTCAACTAAGAAACTATCCAGAAATCCCTGGGGTATATAATAATTGTCAAAACAACTTTCGTAATCGCTGCAGTAGAAGGTCTTGATAACAACAACCAGTCAAAGCGATCATAGTAAAAATCAGAGAAAATGTCTGTAAGATAAGAAGTAGCGAAAACGGTGGATACAGCAGCATTTGCTTAGTCTTTCCACCACAGTGGTCAGCTTAAGCTGCCTTCAGACGCTCTTCCAGTGCATTCAGCTCATCACGTACTGCTTGAGGCAAATCAGCTCCCAACTGATCCTCGTAGTACTTGCGTAGATACTGACATTCTTCCAGCCAATAGTCTTTGGGGATGTCAAATAGCTTCTCCATGTCTAGCTTTGCTGTAAGGTCGTCAACGTTAATGGAGTCCAGTTTAGGTATGTACCCAACTGGAGTCACATCTGCCACATCTTCATCATCACAGCGTCTTAGCACCCATTCCAGAACACGGCAGTTCTCTCCAAACCCTGAAACACCAGGCACCGTTTGTTAGATCAACTTTGCATAGATAACTTTTCAAAGGGTTTTCAAAGCATGGGCTAATTAATGTCTGCAACAGACATTGGATTATCATTTTGGGTTCAAAGTCTGCCTAATTTCCAAGCCCCCCGCCCATGTAGTAATCTCAAACTTTTGCAAACACAGAGAGGTGTCTTCTTTTGTAGATTGTTTAATAAATTTATCATAAAACAATTACTGAATTCGGTTTTCACATAATATCATGTATTATCAAACACAGTGCCTGTGTTATCAGCCTCAGTTAGCCTTTGGCTTCAGCAGATAACTCATACCTTGGCATTGATAATTCATAATATCATGCTCAACGCAATCCAATAATTTCTTAATAGCTACCAATGTCTGGCTTCCTTATTTGCACCCAAGGGTAGCCTCTTAGGGGAACTCCAAAAGTTTTTGCAGGGTTCCCTTTACCCTGATATCCACACCATTTTACATTAGAATCACACAGTACTCCAACAACAACCTAGTATTCTTTCTTAAATGTGTTGTAAAGAGAAAGAAAAAAAGCATTTTTTTTACCAATAGCTGAGCGATACAAAAACAAGTTTTTCCCATAAGCAACTTCCAGAAACATTACTTCCTCAAAAGACAATTTTCCTTACAATTTTCTGCACCATCTTCTGATGATCACTTTAGAATAAGATGTTCTTAGTTCAGTAAGATATTTGACTCCCTTTTTCTGATATTCCAAAAGTAGTCCAATGATTGGTTGTATCTGAAAAGATTTCTAACTCATCATCTTTCTAACTTTTCAAGAACAGAGATGTCTTTCAGTTGTATGAACTTGGTAAAATCAAGACAAGCTCACCTGGCCATAAGCAATGACCATTTTCATCCACACGGAACCAGTTAACATGGAAAATCTTTGGCATTTTGTGGTTTGGTTTCTCCATCTCCAACCAGTGCTCCATGTATTTGCCAAAATTGTATCCAAAGAAAGGTCTCATGGCAAAAGGGTCTCTCATGACAGTTTTACCCTTGTGCTCAGCGGCAGCAGTGGCCTCAGATGACATGGATGAGGCAACAAACACCCCCATGCTGCCAATTAAATGACTGATAGACCAAGGGAACTCCCTGTGGGCGTCGACCACCAAATAAAATGGCACTTATGGGAACACCCTTAGGGTCCTCCCAGGCTTTGTCCATGATTGGACAATGATCACTTGGTGCACAGAATCTGGAGTTAGGATGTGCTGCCTTGTTATTACCAGGCTTCCAGTTTTTCACTCCAAGCCAGGAAGTTATTTCTACATGATCTGGCAGTGGCAAACCTTCAAATAAATCCAAGACAATAGGCTAAGAATGGAGCCATTCAAATTAAATTAACCAAACCTGAAGTTGAACATGGAGATAAGTCATAGTTTGTGGCAAATCTAATCATGTCAATCTTTGCCATGTCTAACTATCCTCTTCACCTCTTAATTGATTCCTGCATTTCTCACAAATACATGAAAATGAAATAAATCATATTTTGACAAGTGGATGAAAATAAACAATAAAATGATCCTTTCAGGTGAACTGCAATTGAGGAAATTGCAGAAAAGGAAACATGGAAAAATTCAGGCTGAGCAAGTCCATGGTTTATTTTATTTATTTGTAATCAGATTTTGTAACAAAATGAAACCCATTAAATTTTGGATCTGAATCAGGAGTATACCCCCCACAAGGTAATTATGCAAGGAAAGTCCTTCACTTTTCCATACTGCAGACAGGCTACTGAGTCGTGTGTGGTTTTCAAGGTAACCTATAGCAGGTTACACCATTGTTTAACTATCTTTAGCAAAATGTTTGTCTGAAGTCTTACACAGGAGGTTGCCCTCAAACATGATAAAAGTAGGCTGTCCTCACTTGGACTGGGAAGGAAAATAAAACGCTGTTGATCTAGTACTACTATTCCAAATTTGGTTTCCAAAGACATTAATTGTCTTCCTATTTCCCTGACTCTCTTCAGACTTTTTCCCGTACCTTCAATCAGATTAAACTTAATGCAACACTTAATAAAGTACCTTCCCAAAAAAAGTCGCCATCACTAGTTTCTGCCACATTGGTGAAAATCGTGTCCTTTTGAAAAGTCTTCATTGCAACTGGATTCGTCAAATAAGATGATCCTGGTGCAACTCCAAAGAAGCCACTTTCTGGATTAATAGCTCTCAGTTGTCCTTCTTCATCAAACCACATCCAAGCAATGTCATCACCCACACATTCAACCTTCCATCCTGGAATTGTTGGTGTTATCATGGCTAGGTTAGTTTTACCACAGGCACTTGGGAAGGCTGCAGTGATGTACTTCTTCTCTCCCTTGGGATTTGTAAGGCCCATGATCTTAAGATGAAAGAAAAACACATTACCTGTATAATTTACAACAGCAGATGAAAGCTTACTTAAACAATTTTTTATTTTCTCTTCATTAGAAGTTTTTAAATCGTGGTTATTTACTATGCTATGCTATAAAGGTTGACTAGTTGATATTTTGTAGAGAGAAATGGTAATTTACGATGTAAGTTAAAAAGGCAAATTTTTATCTAAGAAAAAACTTTCTTATCATAATAGTCCATTTTACAGTTGTCTGCTTCTGTCATCACGACCAATTGTGCTAGCAATCCGTAGAGCAAAACACTTCTTTCCCAACAGAGAGTTCCCTCCATAACCACTTCCAAATGATTTGATTTCACGATCATGAGGAAAATGTGCAATGACAGTCCTATCTGGATTGCATGGCCATTTGCAGTCAGGAGCTTGTTCAGCTTTAGGTATGCCAACTGAGTGAAGACACTTCACAAAGTCGTTATCTCCAAGAAATTTCAATACATGACTCCCCATTCTGGTCATGATACGCATGCAGCAGACAACATAAGCAGAGTCTGTGACTTGGATACCAATCTTAGACACAGGAGACCCAACTGGACCCATACTGAACGCCATAACATACATGGTGCGGCCTAAAATTTCAAGGCACATAGAATAGGAAACAAAAGATAACTTTATTTACTAGGTAAACTAACAAATCCAGACAATGTAACATAATGTAGCATCTTCTACATAACCATATCAATATGGAGTTTACCTGCAAGGATGTGAGAAATCTGTTTGAAATTATTAAACAAACAGACATTTAGGGTATTAACTCCTCCTGTGGAATCATACATCCTTGCTGAGCATAATTATCAGGCATAGGGAGTGCATGTTTTTTTTTTAATTCTATTTTTTCGATGATGCTAATTAGTGTGCTAAATAAACATTTTCTTGTCAATGAGCATGGTTTTTCTTCCCAAATTTTTTGGAAATTTGGACCCTTTTTTTTTTTTTTTTGTGCATCTAACTTATATCCTTTGCATGCCTGCAAGTCTGGGAAAATCTGGATGGTAAATTAACTTGAAGATTTTCTTGAAGATCATCTTTCAAATTTAAAGTAAAGTCTAAATATACTAGGTGAATAACTAGTTACCTCTCATGCAACCCGGAAATCTTGCACTCAACTCCTTGTTCATGTCCTCAACACTCATCCATTGACCCAGGCATCCTTTAACTCCATCCTTTGCTGCTGGGATGGATTCTCCTTTGTCTTCTGTACAGATGAATGTTTTAGATTCCACTCGTGCTACATCGCGTGGATCAGTGCGGGCAACATAACTTAAAAAGAAAGTCACAATGTTTCATTTAGCATAAATCAGTATGTGTATTGTATTACCTTCTTAACATTATTCATCATTACTGAGCTATTTAACAGCTTTTCATTAACAAAAAAAAAAGTTATTGAAAGGTGTTACAGTCCAACCTTCATTATACCCAAACCTTGAGTATTCTGACTTTTTCTCTGGTCCCAATTTTGTCATGAATATTTAATAGTCATGATCAAGATTCATAGCTATATTCTTTTAAAAACTACAGCATTGAAACGTGAAGTAAAGGGGAGTCTGTTTAGCTTTCAAAAAGCAAAAGCAGTGCCAGCACGTGTCATAACTAATGAAGAACATTTAAAGGGGGTCTGATTAGCTCAGAGTTGCTTTGTTGCTAAGTGAGATTTCACGCTCTGTTGGCTTGTTTGGCAAGGTCTCTCTTATTCTGATGTTGAAGACTGACTTAATGTTGAAAGTGAGCTCCCAACTTTGCCACAGTAGTCTTATGAGCCAATTTTAGATAGCATTGTTGGACAGTCTTCTTTTGAAGATGAAAGTAGCGGCGATGAGGAAGATGAAGGCAAAGATGAGAAAATTGTTTCAAACTCTGAAGCTGTTGATTGTTTTAAAAGGTGTTTATTATGGATGGAAAGACAGAACAATGTTGTGTTGATAGTAAATTTTGAGATGGGTCTTAATTTGAAGGAAAATGTCATTTTTTTTGTCGTGCACAAGTTAAGAGGTCAGGAATTCACCATTTTACAGTGGTGTATTCAGTTGCCAAGCTTTTGATTTGGTGTAAGACTAAAGGTGACCTTGTTGCAATAGAGACCAGTATCTAGTTAGCATGATAACAAAGTAATTTACATTTGAAAAGCAGCAAGGTTTGTTTCGTAACAAGGTCATCCTTAGCCTCACTCCTCACTCAAAGGCTTAGCAACCAACCACGCAACCGTATAATGAACTTTTGGAGGTGAACCGAGGGAAAAGAACGATGTTCCTGCAAAACCTAAGATTACACCGTGAGAGGATAGGTCACAAACTTTATACTTGTACTTCGTTGGGTATCCACTTCCGTATACTACCACTACTACCACTAAAAATAATAAGAAGAAGAAGAAGAAAAAAAAAAGCTGGACCAAAGGAGCAGTTAAAGGACGATTCAAAATAAGGTGAGCCCTTACAAAAGAAGTGAACATACCAGTTGTCGTGCTTTGCAAGTGGAGTTAGAATTCCGTCGTCCATAAGCAATTTGATGAGTGCTTCGTTCTCTTCCTTGGATCCATCACAAATGTACAAATCATCTGGGTTGCACAGTTTGACTTTACCGGCAACGAAGTCTTGCACCTTAACAGGCAGCTCTTCAAAATTTCCTTTGATCACTGGGAAGTTTGGTGGGAGTTTTGAAGTCATTGCGTAGCGGTAAACCCTTCTTTATCTGGTCTCTCTGGAGACTTGCAGATTGATTGAATTTAGCGCCTGAAAACCACGACGACAAGAAAGCAAAAAACATCAAATTTTATCTGAAACAAAACAGTAAAAGCTTTTTAGCATAGAAAGAAAAACCTTACTGCAAGTTTGGAATGAAATCCACGATCCTGTTCTAACCTTGAAGGAATAATAGGAAATGCACAAATACGTGTATCTGATGTACAGAAAACTCCTTAACTGTGTGAGTAATTCCATGTGATTGGTCAATTGCAAGCACATGAACGTCTGTTTTTCAGCGTCTTCCTTGAATTCGTGCAAAGGTGCACGCAATCGTTCATGCTCGTAAATCAACTCTAGAAACTTGGTTTTTGTTGCATTTCTTTCGGTCCAATTCTACATTAAAAAACAAACAAACAATCAAAATATGTCTTGATTTGTACGATTTCCGAACTGCTCACGTAAAATTTAGTTTACCGAGTGGGATGACATGACCCACATTGAGTGCGTTATCCTAAGCACGTTTGCAATCAATAGGTCTACCAAGCGTCCAGAATGTTGACTTGTCGCCAAGAGCCTTCTAATATTCAAGAAGCTTTCGCCGGATCCTCTTTAATCCGACATGGAACAGCTGACTGCGAGAGAATGTAGTCCTTTCACTGGAAGACATTGCCAATAGTAAAATTACATTTACAAATACTTTAACAATTCGGTAACAAACTAAAAAAAACAAAAGGATTCGATAAAAAAATAACAACGATAACGAAATAATTCTATAATTTTCTTGTATCATCCTACATAACACTTCTCATTCATTTTTTGAGTTTTTTTCTTGAAATCTTGTGGGTTTTCTTTGCATATTTCCCATTTTTTGGCCTGTATTTTTATCATTATTTACGTGTTTGACTTATTTCGACAAAGGAAATGGCTGAATCCGCATACGCAAAAATGTTTCTCTCTCTTATCAAAGTAATGTTAGATTGTTACAATCGGCAAAGGACACTGTTTTATTTACAGTACGATCACTGTCGCGGCTGGTCGACGCGTAGCCGTCGCCTGGGTTCCCATACGTGACATCAAGTTTTTCGTCTATGCGCAGTAGCGGCATCCTCGAACGGCGCCACGATGTCACTGAGTTAAAACCTCTTTATATAATTCAGTTTCTCGATTTTTTGGTCTTAATGTTAGGTTAAATAATGCAACATTTAGTGCAAATTTTCTCAAAAGCTTCGTGAAGGATTTGGATTAAAGGTTTGTATGTTGCATGGTTGGTCACCATTCGTGGCAACAATCGTTTTCAAAGAAATGTAGACTCAGTCAACACATTTCTTCATGGGTTTGTAAAAATTAATCATTTTGGACGAATCGCGGATCTATCATAAGAGTGGCTCCAATCTATACAGTGTTTCGCTCGGTAAATCAATAAGAGTCTTGGTAAACTGAGCAGACAAGTAGGCCTTTGATTTGAGAGGAAGATTCAGAAAAAAAATGTGGTGAGAAACCATAATTTCATGAGTCGACTGATTTTGACAAATTTGGTATGGAATACAAGCTTACGCGGATATTACGTACTTTATCTCTTTATTACGTACTTTATCTCTAACCTTACCTAACCTTACCTTTTCATGTTATACAGTAAGAATTTACAGCAAATTGACTGAAATGGGACAACACACAGTCTGTACACATGCAGAAGTTCTAATGAGATAGTCCCTGTTCCTCCTCGACTATCCGCCATCTCTTGACCTATTTTTAGTCATAAGAAGTGTTGCTTTCTGAAATTCCCGAAAAGAATCTGTACAATTTTAAGTTAATAAAAACGTTATTATTCATTATAAAACGGCCTAACGACTCAGATTATTTTCCGGTATGATTCTTCGTAGTAAAGCAATTACAGCGTCCATAATAATACCTGGAAAAAGACTAGTCAGATCCTATAGTAAATGACCGGATTCCCTCTTATTACAAACAGGAACACAAAACAAAAAAATATAGCCTAAAAATATCAATTATTATTGTTATACATAATCAAAAGGCTGTTGAAAAACTACCCTTTATTATATGTTCTAACTGTAAGAGATGAACTCTTTTGAGGCTATAACCCAACATGTCATCTAGCTATATACTGTTTATTAATTGTATCCATAACGAGAACCAAACGAAAGGGTATTATCGTATAACAATGTAAAAAAATGGTTTTCAATAGCTATCCTTAAGAACTCAAATTTAACTGCTAATGTCCACCTACATATTTCTGTTCTCTGTTGAAATACGTAAGGAAGTGAACACAACTAATTTGGTGCGAGGAAATCACCCCAAGATATCACACGAAATACAACTGAGATAAAAAAAAATCATTAAATCTGACCTGACAGCATAGGCCTTCTGAATTACGGTTAGATCGCACCATGGTTAGATCGCTCCCGGTTAGATCGGTCCACTCGAAAGTGAGATCGTTCCATCAAATAAGTGACTTCGCTACCAACATAAGTTACTTCGCTCCATGTAGCAAAACTAAGCTATCTAAATTGATAGTTCATCAAATGACGTGCATATCTTACCTAACAATCGGTTAATATCGCTCGCGCGCGCTTGAAATAAATCCGAACTACGCAGAAAGAACAAATGAAACCTAATGTAAGGGACTCACGAAGTGTAATCTACTTTATTAATTAAAGATGGTGGGTATCAGTTTCCTTACATCAAACAGCAAAAAAGGCCACACTGGATAGTATTGGTATTTGAATGATCTTTTTCAATACACTTCAGACTATAAAGTTATAATTTATTCCACGATCATTTATTCCATTATCGCTATACATCATACATCGGTAGCTCGGTGGCTAATCTGAAGGACAGAGTGAATACTATGTACTCGAATCGTCACAAGAAAAACATCATCACCTATAAACTTTAAAGATCATTGGTAAGTAATACTTCACATTACAACATGGAGCGAAGTAACTTATGTTGGTAGCGAAGAAACTTATTTGATGGGGCGATCAAACTTTCGCGTGGAGTGATCTAACTTTTGGTCGGAGGGATCTAACTGGGAGCGATCTAACCATGGTGCGATCTAACCGGATACCGGCACTCTACATGTATGCTAATAAGAGAGAAAAGTTATGCCAGGCTTATTTGTTTTTCCAACAGGATTAGTCTAGTAGGAAAGAGTGGTTCCAAAACTCTGAGCAACGATCTGGCAAATACTATCGGTAGGTGTGATTTTGGCTTTCAACGAAATGGTGTTGTTTAGAGTCCTAAACATCTGTGTACAAACTGGATTTATGTGGTAGTGCCTTACACCACTGGACAGCTGGTAGAATTTGGAGTCTTTGATCCAGTAGTAGTATGCCTCGTACCGTCCACAGCAGTAAAATGCATTGTCGTCTCTCCAGAACCCCTCCACTCGGGTCGACAGAGGTTTGGCGCAGCCCGCTCATTTTCGGATGTTGCCAGTTATTTTCTTTATAAGCAATGGGGCAGCCGGAGGAGGATCTTCTAGACGAACAGGTTTCCTGTTCACAACTGTTGTGGGGTTTACTGGCTGGACCAAAAGTGCACTTGAACTGTTACTGATGCCTGTACGATCATTTCCAGTCTGCCGTGTTTCCACGTCTAAATTCTTCCGTTTGAAACCGGCTACTGGTTTCTTCTTTCCGACTGAAGACGAGACTGTGGAGGTGCTTGTGCTGTACACATTTCTACCCATGTAAGTTTCTAACACTCTGGACTAAGTACCCGTCTTCCATGCTACAGCTACAGTGTGGCAGCAGATATTGTTACAGCTGTAAAAACACATTCGCATGAACACTTTCCACTCTTGAGACACGTCACTGTGTATGGAGCAGTATTTGGTTGGGGTCTTCTGCTACTGACAAGAAATGCTCCCTGTTGGAAACCATCTCGTGTGGCTTCATCATGTACCAACACAGCAGACTTTGCAGACAAACCTTAGTATCCATAAGGCGTTCTAGATCCTTCTTTGATGGTAAAGGAGGGTCCATCTGTGAGTTTTGGGGCTCAATCGATGCACTTCGGGTATGACCAGTTTAGAACTTAAACCGTTTGCATCTATGAAAAGCGGCTGAGTCGGGGCACAGCTTGGAAAGGCATCATAGTGCAACTTTTCTTTCGTCTGGTGTCATGTGCAAGTGACTTTTCCGAGGGAAGTGATCCTTAAATTCCTCTTTAACTGCCCACTTATCTGATAGTCCAAACCAAGTCAGCTCTTCCTCAGTTTGAAATGATTGAACCAGGTCTTGAAGGGAAATAATAAACCTGTCTATTTCACTTGGCAGAAAATTCACCCAATCTTTGATCATAAAGTTTACGGACTCTGGAATATTCTGGTGTGACGATAAAGTTTTCGCGCGCTAAACTGGACTTTCGCGGGAACATACAAACAGGGGAAAATAGTTCGGTAGAGATCACTCGGCTTGCGAGAAAGGAAACTCGTCACGATTTCCTGACACACGGAGGTCCACTTCTAGTGAGCTTGTACCGACGTCAAGGAGGAGACAGCGTTTTGGTTCCACAGTAGACTTTTATTCTAGGTCAGGTCAACAAGCGACATTACCTCTAACGTACTCAAGTTTGTAATCATCAAGGCTGTACAAGGTACTTGCTTAAGAACTAACTGGTGTGAGGTGCTATTGTTACACAAATCGCAATATTTGAATAAGGACACAAAGGAGCGGAAAAAGTCTGTTTGAAGTTAAACGAAAACTACTTAGATATTCCATCTGTTTCTACGACGAAAATTATCTCAAAATTAAAAGGAAGGATACAATAAACTCGAGGCCATTAAAGTAGGAAACTTAGGTGCGAATTCACAGTTCTGGTATAGAAAATAATACCTATCTCAATTGCAGCAGAGCAGCTCAGGAAACAAAAAGGGAAAAGCAATTAAAAGTTTCTGCTTATCTACGCAAGGTTGGTGTGGAAACTGTCGTATGAAAAAAATATAAAGTTACGAGTATAAACTCAGCTGCTATCTACCATGAAAACCAATGTTTCCAGAAAGACCATTAACACTTATATTTACCTAAAAAAAACTATTAATAAATAACAAAAGTGCCGACAGGCAGGTGCATATGATGAAAGCGAGTAACAACAAAAATCTATTCCAAAAGCTACTGTGGTTTTTATACATTTTTTGATTTACTGAAATGAAAGGACTGGGAATGGTTAAATGTGAAAGTTTACGAATAAATATGTTCCGAATAACGACCACACTGAAAAATCAGTAAATTTTCCCGTAACACTGGCTGTAGGGATCTTCTTCTAGTTGTTGCATTACAGAACTAAATGTTTTGTTTCTCAGATCATGGAAATATTGATTCTCAAAATACAGTGAAAATTGCAGCTTTCTGTGACGCTCAGTGCCTTCAAAGTCTTTCCATTTCTTCATCAGACTGTTGACTCATTCTTGGAACTGAAAGGATTCTTTCCAGAGCGGATCCTTGGGCTTTGAAAAGATGTCTCGCAAAATTTCTTCTCTTGTCTTGTTTGACAGATCAAGCTTCTGGAGTTTACGCGAAATGTTCATCTTAAGAGCTAATGTCAACATGCATCAGACAAACAGCGGCAAGTCACCCACTTTCACTCCTACTTTCATATTTTGTAGCCCAATATGTCCTGATAATTGGGGGGACCAACACAAATGAATATTTACCCTGTATGAAGATTTTTGTTTGTGATGAATTGACAATACTACAATATGTTGCTTTTGTGGTCACTAATCGTTGTTTCAGTGGCAGCGTAGGAGTTAAAAGCGGGTTGTTGCTTCAACGCTATTGAAATTTTTAGTGTTCTGGCAGGAGAGCAAAGCGTGATGCTCTGGGAATAAAAACTCTTAGGGGCCTTTTACATGATATCGGAATGAGTTCTGTTCAAGAACGAGTTCATCCCGGTTGCCACATGACACCAGTGTAAAACTATTCGAAACGAGTCATTTCTGAATGAGTTTATTGAGGATTTCATTCTAGAACGTATAAAGTAAACGCGGTACGACACTCATATCTGTATGAATCCTCTTTAGGAGCGAGGTAAGCATAGAAAAAGGACGTAAATACTTGTTTTTACAAGCTAAATTATCTTGCATTCAAACGCGGTATGACATTCATTTTGTTCCGGAACAAAACCCATTTTGGAATTATGTAAAAGGTACCTTAGGAACGGACTATAGATTTTCGATGGGGTGGGTGGGGGGGGAGGAGAGTATGTATAGGGGTTTCCCAGGGGGTGCAGCACACTTGAAATTTAGCAAGGACAAATTTTGATTTTCGGTGAAGAGAAAAAAGTTTTGTCAGCGTCTTGTAGCTTGTGCGGAAGGGCCCTTTACCACTGTGTGCTAATTACGCGTGTGTTCCGTCAGACATTAGTATAGAAAACTCCGCCTCTGTCTGGATTTTTGGCAGCCTATTGACCAATTCGCAATCGAGACCTAAGTCTGACGGGACGCGTAATTTTGCACAAATTTTGATGGATCTGAACATTTTAGTTTTCTGAATACAGTAATTCTTGGAAGGTTTTTATAGATATGTGAAGAGGGAAAAAAATCCCATCCCTTGGTAATTCGGAGGTTGATTCATCTTTGAATTTGTACGTGTCACGCTTGTCATGCAACTGATATAACAATGTGGAGAAGATTTATAAACTACAAATTAAATCTGGCTAAAATGTGGTAGAGAATAACTTGATCATCGAAGCAGCCAATAAAATCATAAATAAATAGGGTAAGAGTATGTTATGTTAGATTTTTTTACAAATTGTAGTGATTTATGACGGTAAACGGTGGCGATAAGTAGGCGCACCATGTATATTTCATAGTCGCTAGCAAGTAAATTTTGCCGGACTTTGAGTTCGTCTCAAGATTGAACAATTCAAATACACAAGGAAATTTTTACAGTAACTTTTTAACCATCCTTTCGTATTTCAAAAGCTAGAAGCTCAGTAGATTCTGTCATATCGGTCATTGTTAAAACTGTCTTTGTTTTGATGCTACTTTTCGACATAGGAAAAGTATGTCGGACAAAAATATTCACCAAAAAATAAATATTTCCTTGCCAGCTTCAATAATGACAGGGGATTAAGTTTAGACGATAAAACAAAGGATTATGTTGACAGAAATACCGGAGGTCAAGTAAATTCGTTACATGAGGTCACAACTCGGTTAAAATTCATAGTGAAAATTTGCTTATTTGAGCGGTCGAACGAAGAAAATAATTTCTCGAAAACTAAAATATATTTTCACAAAAAAACTACACCATAATTATAAGAACATATTGGGCTACAAAATATGAAAATAGGAGGGAAAACGAATTTTGGGCGACTTGCCACGGACTATGATTATGGATGCCATTTTAATACTCTCAAAAGACCGTGTTCTTGTAAATAGACGTAACGTCAGTTCCAAAAAAAAATAATGGCTAAAACCTGGTACCCAAGAAGAGAATGAAATGTAATAGCCGCGCCAAGATCTGACACCATTCCAGCTTCCTGACGACAACAGAATTTGAGGATGTCATTGATTTGCTTCTCAGGAAATGGTACAATAGTTAGTAAGGTATTGCAGACTACATCACGAATAAATCCTTCGCATGCCCCCTTCTAACTCAAGCACAGATGCATACATCTTTCGTCTTCTTTGTACCAGTGCTGCTAGCGCATGTTGTCGACTTCTGTTTTTCGCGCAGCGCTTGGCGGGCATTCCTCGGTAAGGCACTAGTGCTGTCCATGTCGATAACATACATACATACATACATACATACATGCATACACACACACACACACACGCACGCACACACACACACACACACGCACGCACACGCACGCACGCACGCATGCACGCATATATACATACATAATTTATTTGAATAAGGTATGATAAGGGCAGTTTCGTTAATGTGGACCTCCAATGTCTCGTACGGTATTGAACGGGGGTGCGTTTAGGACCTGTTTTTCCATCACCTACGTTACTTGCTAGCTTTGACTTGGTGCTTTGCTTTGTTCGAACATATATGGAACAGACGAAGAATCCTTTCGGTTTCCGAGTTGAGCTAGTTTGAATATCTGCGGGACGGGAAGCCCTCGAGGCGGTGGTGTAGGAAAACAATCGGAAACCAATTGTCAATCTCTTTACCATACTCGATTGCCACGGTTGTTCGGTGGAGGGAGTGTCTCCTTATTTTAAAAGGAGTGAATTATGACATAGTATAGAGTTATTTGCAATTGAGAAGTTTCAAATAAGTGTCTCCCACGGAGAAGCTAGTGTGGAGAAATATTTAATAAGCACCATATAGCTTTTTCAAGGAAATATGGTAGGCTTTTATAAGCCTACCATAAATCATCATTCTCGCAAAATTACTGTTATATAAGGTCTTCCTTCCTTGTTATGCGCAGAACGTGTGAGCAATGAAAAAAAATTATATTCTCAAAGGGATCGCTTATGTTTTTGTTATTTGTCTCCCGAACATTTTTTCACTTGTACGTTTACTTATAGTATTTAATCTTATTGATCTTATTATTAATCTCGTTTTCTTATTGTATTTATTTTTGTATTATATCGACTGCGATTTCCTTCAATATAGATATAGTTCCGATGCATGGAGAAAGTGATCTTGTGGAGTCGTTTATGTTTGGCCAAGGACAATTTAAAACCATCGTTAGCATGTTTATTTGATTTTGTTATCTGGAATGAGTGATTTACGGAGGTAAGTTAATATGATGTGATCTACTAACGTCGAAAATATATCAAGTCGAAGGAATAGTTTTGGTCTCGGTTCGCATTTTTGCCAACAAAGTAAACACATGGTCCGTGTGTCATTCGGCCATTCAATTTTCGTTTAAAATCAAAACTTGAAAATTGATGTCAATTTTTGATCTTCGTTACATTTTATCATAAAAATTACGAAAGTGCCAAATCGAAAAATTTTGACTTTTTTTTCCTTTTGATAGAATATTGAAACATAACTTATATTTTTACTTTAATCCTGTCAACAATAAAGGGAAAAATGAAACTGAGCGGCAATTTCGCTTTTTCGACAATGTTGCAGCCTGTGACATGGCTAAGTTTTTCTGTTTTCGGCGGAAGTGTAAAAATTGAAAATTGCAATCAATTTTCAATTTTGTCTCTAGGCCAAAACACTGAACGTAAATTACATTAGCGGTTTCTTCCAAAGTATATCTGCCACTAGTTCTTGGAACGTAAGAGGTCCCTTCACATTCTTGTGTGTTATTTCCGCATTAATAATCTTCGCAAGAGCGCCACCTTTTCGTCTTGCATTACCGAAAAGTGGTGGCCTTGAAGAACTTGCTTGAGAGCCAGTAAGAGAGCCTCCATAAGTTAACAATTGACTTCATTGCCCAGTATGTTGTTCAGCTATCTGTGGGATGTTTGATGGCGAATTCGTCAAATCTTCCCCCATTACAAGATGAGACGATCCATCGTCTAAATGCAAGACATTAAATCGTCCTGATCCTGAGTCAGCCGGCCAGTACGTCATGTCTCCAGACGAATTCGTTTCCACCTGAGAAATGCAATTTTCCTCGTTTGCTGTTTTCAGTGTTGAAGATTTCACCCCCAACACAACTGCTCGCAGGGCAACCACAGTTAAACACGATCTAAATTTTGTTTAAGATTACTTAATCTTGCATCGTTGCAGTCATGCCATTGGGCGATTTTGCAAGACTCCAAATGTAGATACAATGTGTACTTGCCTGAAAAGCTCGAGAAAGCCTCGAAACTGTCATATCCCCCGCTGCTATTCGTAATTTAAACACTTTTCCGTCCCTAGTCAAATCAAAGGTTTTATTGCCTGCCATGATGTCGACGAACGGACAGTCCAAAAGAGCGCGAAACTTTCACTTCCTTCGCAGACTCTAGGCGGGCCATTGAGGAGGGGTTGGTATCAGAAATTTACCCCCTCCATCTCCCTCACCTTCACTCCAACCAGGTTTTACGGTATGGCGTCTGAAAAGTCGATATGGCTACATCACCCGCTCCAATATGCTCCAATACGAAGTCTAAGGTCTTTTTAACTTCTTAGCTAACGTCCAAAGTCTGGCTACTCGCTGTAATTGACAGAACTAAGGAAGACGCTACAAAACGTCGTGATAGACCGCGAAGAGACAATTAAACTCTCATTTCATTCCCAAACCTATAAGCAAGGAAGCGGACCTGGCCATATGGAGAGGGCGCTAGGGGCAAAAATTACCGCGCGAATGGCCCCTCCCCCACCCTCTTGGGTAGTTCTGTCCACGATTTTGAGTGTTTTGGCCGAAAACAAAAATTGAAAATTGATTGCAATTTTCAATTTTCAATTTTTACACTTCCGCCGAAAACAGAAAAACTAAGCCATGCCACCGACTGCAGCATTGTCGGAAAAGCAAATTTGCCGCTCAGTTTCATTTTTCTCTTTATTGTTGACAGGATTAAAGTAAAAATATAAGTTATGTTTCAATATTCTATCAAAAGGAAAAAAAAAGTCAAAAATTTTCGATTTGGCACTGTCTTATTTTTAAATAAGTAAAAAGTAACGAAAATCAAAAATTGACATCAATTTTCAATTTTTGATTTTAAACGAAAATTGAATGGACAAATGACACACTGACCCTCTATAGCCACTTTTATTACGTTGGTAAAATCTGTACAGACATCACACCAACCGACTCGCGCACAAAGTGAGAAGACTATATGAAGGCTTGAAATTATATTAAGATCGATTTTGATCAAGAAATGGGCCAGGAATATTCCACAATAGTGCAAATAATCGTGAAAGCTGATCCCCTAAAACGCGATTGCGTGACGCTCGGTAAGTTGTAAGATGACATGTTATCATATACCAGAAAGATTCTCATTCTGTATTTTGTACCCACTCTGCCGTGTGCAGTCTACATTTTGTACCTAGTCTACATTTTTTATCCGGTTTGCAGTCTGCATTTTGTCCTAACAGGTATCCGTGGCACCAATACAGTTTATTTTTGGTTACAGCTATTCACACAACACACACAATCTACCACAAAATACCTGTGTGTGAGTTAATTCGACATTTTCGTTCTTTTCCGCGTTAATACTCTTCTTTCCTTTTGTAAAAATGTAGAAATCTCAGTGTTTTACTTAATCCACCCACCCCAAAAAATAACTCTTGCATGCATAGCATGCCTATGTTTTCTTTTGTTTTTCATTTTTAAGCGGAAGCGGATAACAAAATTGATACTCTTTGCGTTCATCGTTTTACATTTGCCATCGTCTATGGGAAAAGAGAACGAACACTTGGCAGTGAAACGAGGTAAAGCGGCACGAACGCGACTATCTTTCGCCATCTTGAAAATTTAATAATAATAATGTAAATGTTATTTGTTCTTTAATTAAGTTTAAGTAAGCCTTATTTTTGTTTTCATGTAATTTCCAGTGAATTTACAGGGGGTCAGTAAAGGAGGGTCAGTAGGGGGTCAGTTGACCTGGGGTCAGAGTTTTGTTGTAGCCTCATAAAATAAGGGTTTGGGGTGAGAGATTAAACTAAGGCAAGAAAAAGTTAGCATGACTAAGCATCTTTCCATTGATTCCACTGTCAAGTACAAGACCACGAGGGGTGAAAATACGCACATTTCAAAGAACATAAATTGGCCTTCAACTTTGATGTTATTAGTTCTAGCTGATTGCCCAATGCAGTTCATTTACTATTTCACTCGAAACTAAGCCACGAATATTTCATTCCTTCGGTAACTTATATCAGCACTTTCTCGCCCTCAGGAAAATTGGGTGAAAGTGTTTGACAACCTTTTGAAAATATCGCAAAGACAGACAAAACCTAATCTATCTGAACTCACGCAGATATTATTTGATTTACAGTCTCGATTGTCCAAATAAGCTACTAGGCAGTGATTAATCTGGTGGACAGCAAAAAATTCAACCAGCTGTTGGTAAAATATCTGTTCTGTGCAAAAATCTCTGTAAGTTCTGGCTGTTCAGTCATTCAAGTATCAGAACACCTGCAGCTGTTGGAATGGAACTTAACCAAAATGCAGAATATTCTGGAAATCAGCTGCAACGAAGTACAACACGAATGGATCAATTATCATCGTTTATATGATAAGCTGAATTATACATGCACTTTGATTGGTTCTTATTTCAAAATGTGGTAAGTACATCCATGGCACACTCTACTGCGCCTCGTGCACCACTTTTTTGTTCTTTACACATCTTGACATCAACTATGATCTGTTACTGAATAGACACACAGCAACACAAAATCTATATCAAATGGAATAACCATTCACTTCACATTTGATTTCCTCTTTATGTTTTTTGCTCCTGAACACATGGATGAGCAATGAAAACAGGCTCTCATCTCTGGGTCAGTAGAGAAAAACAATCATCAAGTTAAAATGAAATACATCGGTGCCACGCTTACTGTTGTCTCCTTCGCAGCAGTTGTTTGGTCTCATTACACAACGCCCTCTACTTCCCGTTTAAGAGAGAGCTCGTT